TCCATTTGAAAAAACCGAAACAAACGATGGTCGCTTGGCTCTGTTGGATAAAAGTGGTTGACTGGTCTAAAAAACAACAGTCATACCCGGAGCTAGCGAAACCGATGATTGGGATTGTATATCGGGACCACCCACTTCCAAAATGGAGCCAAGTATGATAAGTCTGAAAAACTGAAACAGTCTCTGGGTACATTTGTGCAAAAGGTCACAGACCTATGCATGGAAGTAAGCCGCCCTTCCAATTCATCCATCTAAATCCATTAAAATCGTAGCTTTTGAAATTACCAAGAAAAAAACCTCTGTTATCGTTATCGCTATCGAATGAATCATACAAGTCGCGTGACTGAGTAACTGCATCACGTTTCCTTCTCTCGTTCTCTCTTGTTTCTTCTCTGTTTGCAGAAACATTTTTTAAATGCAAATTCTTCGGAAAAGAACAAAAAATTCAATTAATCAACCAACACAAATACCAACGGTTTAACCCCCCCCCCCCTCCCCCCGAGCTAAATATGTTGCGATGACGGTGAAAGGAAGCACAACATTTCAGTTCAACAACCATAAAATGAATTCTGGTTTATATTTGGTTTCGCCGAATATTATGCGTCATTTGGATGTCAGTGTTTTATTTTATTAAAAAAAAATAACAATGTAAATTCGTATCGCCCTCTTAAAGGGATTCTCGTTTTGACATTTATATAACGTAGAATATCCAAATTTTTCGTGATATTCGATTGACTGCTATGAAAAAACTGCTGTTGTGTGCCGTTACTTGCAAGCCATCATTGATGCTCAAAACTCACGCGCCTGTCGTTGTCGTTGTTGATGTTTGGATACTCTTTTGCCCGTGACGTCCAAAATATGCAAGCTTTGGCATAATCCTCGAAGTAAGAAAAAAAAATCAATTTGATATTTGCAGCCAGTTTGTAAACAGAACATCCATAAATATTCACTGTAAGTGCGACTCCATGAAATAGATTAAAAGAAGAATATACTATGTACATAGACGAGAAAAAAAAGAGATAATAATGAGCGAATCAATGGAAATTATTTGTTGTGTTCAGCGCCTGGAATGCCGAGGACCATTTCACTCTCTGCAACAATCTTATCCCAAAAATGAAATAAATGGACCGTCGTCGTCGTAGTCGTTGTTGTTGTTTATCATGACTGACTTTTTGAGCAAATAATATGAATTGTGTATTGCCCCATGAGGTCTTTTGTTGCATCGTTGGTGTATCAATAGCTCGTCGGCTCAATTTATTGACCAAAGTTGTTTATGTATTAGTAGAGGGCCGCCATAAAATTGAGAAGCCACCAAACAAAAACATATCTATTCGTCTTTACGCAGTACAATATTTGAGGTTTGTTCATTTTACGTCTCGGCTATATGGGGAGTGTACATATGCGTTTTTATAAGTGAGAGTATTGCGATGTGTTTTCTTTATTTTGGTGTTGCTGAGATGTCGTTGTTCTCGTTGTTTGGAGGCGTCCATTCTATTCTATTATTGTTTCTATAGCTTTCATTCACACGCATCGTGCATAATTTTTACAGAGTTTTGCAGACAGATTAACCATAGAAAGGTAGCGGCAAGGCTGGCGATTCAATTTTTGTGTGTGCGTCTTCTTCCCTTCTTCTCTCTGTTGATTTCCATCTCACCTTCTCTCTCTCTCTCTTTTTTCCTCTCTGTATGTTGTTTGTTCTTACTTTCGTTCTCTCCGCGAGACATCACACATCGGGTATATTGTGGCTTTTCAAGATATCATACTGTGCTAGGACATACTTGCCAATGCATAACATGTTTACATCATAACCAGACAATAATTGAACCACAAATAAATATCAAACCAATGAAGAAGTCATGAAAATGGAAGCCGCAAAAACTGTACACACACACACAAAAATCAGAGGAAAAAAAATGAAGAGTCAAGTGCGGCATGCTGCAAGCATATGAACAACAACAAAAACAAAAAAAATTCAGTAAACACTGAAAATCGCAACCATCGAAATAGAATCACGGTTAACGAGTTTCTAAGAAGATATAATCTACAAAAAAAAATACATCACCATATTTCAGCATATCAATGATAATATTTTCTACATTAATGGCTTGTTATTCGAGTTCTACGGAAGAAAAATTGTTGTTCATTTTTGATTCGCTGTCGCGATACCATTCTTATTTCGAATACCGCCTGTGATTTCGGTTGCGATGTGCGATTTTGTCGGGCCCCTTCCCATCAAAGAATCAATGTTTTGGCACACATTTTATTAAAACGTAAATTAAAAAAAAAAGGGAGACGATGTAAAAATAGCTATAACTACATTAGAAAATAGAAAATTGACAGAGTGTCTGAGTAGAGAGGCTTTTATTGAGTCGAAATCACTTTATCGGGATGCCTTTCACACAGTTCGTCTATATCATATATGATTAAATGAACCCGTGAGCATAAAAACGACTTATAAAAACTTATAGAATTCCATACCATCTGGCGTTTTCTGCAAAAACACATTTTTACATGCGTTCCGTCAGGATCGTTTCTGAAATGCCGCTTTTATTCTTATCGATACATGTATAGATGATGCTAAAAAAAATGGACCATATAACAACAGCAACACAAAGTGATCAAATGCATTTTCGCCTTTGTCAGATACGAAAAGCAACTGCAGGGTTTCGAAATCGAAATCTTAATAGCGACAGTGCTTATAAATTTATTGGGTTCGCGTTAGTCGTTATCCGCCGATTCAATCTTTCTTTATATTCATGCGTTGTACGTGTGCGGATTCACAGATATGAAAAAGCTTCAGCACACACTATTATTGCTGTCTCTTGCACAAACATACAACTTTACCATGGCATCGCCGTCGTCGTTGTTGTCACCACCAACAAAGTAGGTGTGAAAATGGTGATGGTTTGAATGAATGAAATAAAAGTGTTAGAATGATGAACAGATTGGAAAAAGTTTTATACACACACGCATGAATTGGCTATTGTTGTGTATAATGCGTCTGATGGTTGTGTTGGCATCCGGTTAAATGTTATGAGAGTTCAGTGAGTTCGCAATTTGGAACTCGTTTCAATCTGATCGGACATCTCGGATTTAAATGAAAATTGAAAATCTGAAGTGTACAATGGATTTGAAGTGGATCAAAGCGAATCGAACCGAAGCAAAGGAAAGAAATTCGAGTGGAAAAGAGAGTCGGTGTGATTGCACACAGTGCAATTGTTTTCAAAATTTCAGCACATATTCAGGTGACACTCAATACATTCAGATGCAATCCATTTCGATTATATCTGAAAATTGACCCAATGAGCCAAACACGTGCAATTATTGTGCATAGTAAATTTTTTCCCAAATCGTGCACAATTTTTACACATATTGTGCCCAGAAACAAAATTTTATCTAAAAATCACACAATTTTTGCACTTTTAGTGCTACATTTAGCATTACATTAAAATATGCACAAAATTCAAACATTTAGCATTACATGTGTTCATTGGGGAAGTCTTACATTGAACACACAACTACAATTAAGAGATATTTGCCAATGCAAATTAGATTCTCGCTGCACATCAAGTGCCAAACTGTGTGGAAAAGATAATGGAAAACAAATTACAATTTCTCGATGCATTCGATAAATCCTTGAGTGAATGGTGAACTTGTGATTTTTCTTCTAATCATGGACCAACCCAATCCAACACATATGCACATCTGCAGTGAATATTATGAACAATACCTTGTGCAACCATTATCGTATGTTTGTCTTAAGACAACAATACTTGAGTACCGTAACTATTATTTTGAGTGGCACAAATCGGCAAATAAAAATGGAGAAGAAATTAAACAAAAAGAAGAGAGAATAGAGTCCAGCTGGAATGTCAACCATCAAAGTGCAACATCATTGGGATATTCTTGAGTGTGAGTGTGTGTGCACGAAAGAGAGAACGAGTGATTTAAAATCAATGGTAAACAGAAGCGACACTGCCAAGCGAACCGAGTCAATTGAATAGTCGCACTGTTGAAAGCGACGATATTTGTGTGGCAGTTGCAAGGACGTTGTTGTTCTAGTTGTTCTATTTACACTGCGGTTTTCCCATTTACATAATCACCGACAGGAGAGCATGAGCGAAAAGGAGCAGTTTTTTCCTTCTTTGGTGCGCCATTGGATGGCAGCAAGACCGAAAACAACTTAAATGACAACTGTAGTGACGCGAGCGCCCTCAATTTCAATAGGCAAATCAATGTAATTTCGGAATTTTTTTTCGAACTAAACAGCGCGACAATTTGAATTTTTTTGATGCTGCCACCCTATGTGGTGCGCTTGAATGCGAATTTCATTTTATATTTGAATTTCATTCGGTTGAGAGACCGTGCGCCCGCTCTTTTCTTTCGTCGTAAATCCCGGGTATCAGCTGTTTCTCCCGAAACAAGCCAACAAAACGAAAATCCCCAACAATAAATGCAATATTCCCGCACATTTTTTTTCGGATAACAATGGGAATATCACCATCGAAACAAATATAATATGACCTCGGAATGAGTGGAAACGATAAGACCAACCAACATAAACATGTAGCACATAAATTTTCGGGCGCTATTTGTGCGCTTTGCTACTTCTGAGAAAACAGCATGGTTTGTGGATGGATGCAAACGCGCGCGCGCGCGCGCGTGGGTTTCCAATGTTGTTGTTCGTTTAGTTCGATTCTCCTCATTCGGAGGGTATTTTGTTTACCGCTTTGATGGTGTCCATAAATTAGATTTGCGAGCGAGAGAGAGAGAGAGTATTTTATCGTCATTTGACGAAGATTTAAACACATTCACGTTGACAATTTTATGAACAAATTTCTCCTTTAACTGTAGAACATCATAAATATCGTAGTCGCTGTATAAACTAATTAAATTGTTTGCTTTCTTACTCTCCCCATTTCAATATATATTGTGCTCTTCATTCTCTAACGCTCTCATGTGCTTTTTTTTTTAAATTCTCTTCTTCTTCTTCTTTCCAGATAAAGGCGAACCGAAATCATTATTACACACGGATGAATAAATTGTCAAGCCAGGAAACATTTACGACAACAACAGAGTAACGACGAAAAAAAAGCCAACAGCAACCACTTATTTTCAGCACTAAATTGAATTCGGTAAATAGGATAGATTTGGTCAATGACGCCAAAATCACATACACACAAATTGGCGTAAAAAATTTCCTGAAATTTATTGTTCTGCGAAAGCAGTGAGAGAGAGAGAGAGAGAGAGAGAGAGAGAGAGAGAGAGAGAGAAATAAGGAGGAGGGGATGGCGCTATATTGAGCAAATAAAAGAGCAAAAGCGTCATTTGCGTGAAAAGCAACAGCAAATTGTTCAATCTATAATAAATGAAAGCGAAACAACTCTATCGCTATTGATTTGTCAATCAATGTTTACATCAGCTACTTCAGTGTTCAGGCGACTACTGCCAATTGGCTGCCACTCTTAATACATTGTAAATCAACACAAGCGTGCTATATAATGATGGATACCAAAATAAAATGGATCAACGTAAAAATCCAATGAAATGATTAATCATTGAGCAAAATTGACGGGCGCGAAAATTATTTTGTGTGTCCGAAACACGGCCGAATAAATCTGTTGATAATAAAAGAAGAACGGACGAAAGCAGAGAAAGAGAGAGTAAGACCCGATCGTTTCGCACGCGTATTATTACCGCTTGTGTGAATATTTATCGATTGTGTTAGCATAATGTGTTTGTTCAGCAAAGTGGTGCAATAAAATTTCATTGTATGCGGTACCGTTGTTCACTTATATTATGTAAATTATAGTGCATTATAGCGGAAATTCAATTTGAATCTTCCGTTTGCAATGATATTTCATGAAAGATTTCAATTCATTCGTAGCAAAAACCGCAAAAGCAAGCGAAGCACTTGAAAGCTTAATCAATGACTTTGATATCATCTAATTTTCCGGTAAAATGATTTTTTTTTGTAATTCAAATGCATGATTTTGATAAGAAAAGGAGTAGGAAGTATGTAAACATAAAAAATATTGTGCTTTTATGACAATAAAATTGTGTCGTTGAGAATAATAATGAGATTAGCCGAAACCGGGTGTTTTTTTGCGAATAATTTTTGTGTTTCTGCTTTCAGAAACCGATTGAGGTTATGTCACCACTTTACACCACGGCAAAGGGACGACACGTTTTGACGAAGTCTACGGCGAACTCATGAACTATCGAAAAGTCAATACAAAATGATACGAGAGTTCGTGGCGCTGCGAGCGCTCAAATGATGTTTGTACTGAAGTGTCGTCAGCTTGCACCACGGATTTATATTGTTCAGAATGTTCGAGCGCACCACATATTTCTCAAATCAAACCACTTTTGAGGTGATGTTCCGTGACAGCTACAAATCCGTGGTGTAAAGTGGTGACATAGCCTCAATCAAGTTTTCTGAGTGGTACGAGATATGAGGCAAGTATCTCAAGCAATGGTGAAGATCTTGAAATGTTCTAAAACATTGCAGAAGACATCCGTCTTCTATCTCTTACCAGGAACACAAAAATGATTCACATGTAAACGGGCGGTTTCGGCTAATCCCATTTCTATTCTTATCGACACAATTGAACCCGTGAGCATAAAAACGACTTATTAAACAATCGCCGAACAAAACGATACAAGAAAAAACTACCGAACAAAACGTACCACAGCGGTAATGTGTAGCACAGCGGAGTTTTGTTTTGAACGGTACCGTCCTGCTGTGTTACGTTTTTAACGTGTGTTTTGTTTGGTAGTTTTTTCTTGTATCGTTTTGTTCGGCGATTGTTTAATAAGTCGTTTTTATGCTCACGGGTTCAATTTTCAAATCCAATGCAGATTGTCACACATACGCACGGTCATAAATTGAATGTACCGTTAATGAAGCCATGTGGAATGGTTTTAAATGTAAATTGTGTGCCAATGCAATAGACTAGAACAATAGACGAGAAAAATAAATGAGCCCATTGATTTGCTATTGAATTCAATTTTCGTGCCATCATCATAAGCAGCAAACGATTGCATAAATTCAATAATAAACAATAAACACATATTACAAACGAATCATCCGATAGATACCCCGAATATGACTGGAAAACCGTGAAATAGCGCCATTATACAATGTATGCATATTAATACAAATAATATTTATGCGATTCTCTCTCTCTCTTTCTCTCTGTCTCTCTGTGTTTCTCTCCTCCTATCTATATACATATATCTCTCACTTACACTCTATTTTCTTTCTTTCTCTCCTTCGTTTTTTTTAGTGTTGTAACTCGTAGCAGACTTACGTTTTTATGTTCACACATAAAACGCGAGCGATCGAACGGCAATCGAAATAAAGTGTTGTTTGTTATTTGAGCGCGATAAAAACGAATGAAATACCAAAGCACCAAAAAAAAGTAGCAACATCACCCGACGACACAAACGACACACCAAATTCGAAGTTATTCGAGTGTGTGTTTATTTTACATCGTTATATCGGAAACAGTGCTAAAGTTGATGTTTGTTCATTACGACGCGGCGGAATTTTTCGAAACGATGTGAATTCTTTACATGTTTTTTTTTATCACAACAAGCAGATTCACAGTTGTTTGTTGAGCTTTGCGGAGCAAAGAAGGAGGAAAAAATCACATTTCGAACGAAGCTCAATAGAATATTGGAATTTTAGCCAAACTACGGTTCATAGTAGACGATAAGACGACGACAGCAACAACTTTAATTCATTGTTTGAACAAAAAACAAAACAACAGCGAAGCACATGATCGTGCGAAATTCCAATATTATGAAGCCATTGAAAGCTCATATTTAATACTGTGTCAATTTATTGTGGAATTGAAAAGTGAATTTCTATGAATTATTCTTATCGGCAGCATCCACTACGCTGGCGTACATAATAACAATATCTCAACTACATTCCAACGAACCGAAGAAAAACATACACACGTTTCACTCCGATTCTTCTACATCACCATCTGGCATTGTCAGTGCAGTTTTCTTCACAGCCCACAAAACGCAAAACACAATCAGTCAACAGTATCAACATCAGTACGTCATTGAATTTGTTTACACACAGTCCAATAGTTTGCATGTTGCACCAGATACATGGATACACATTGTGTGTGTGTCTGAAGAATTTAATGGAACAAATTTAATTTAAATGCAAAATGACGGATAATGTGTAATGCAAGGGAAAAAAATTGCTTGGTTAGGGAATTCTGGTAGCATAAAACATTCAGTATACAAAATAATAACGATAATAATAATAATAGCAAAGATTCAGTTGGGAAGCATATCAAGGCAACATTACGACAGCATCAACGTGATGAAGAAATAAATGGCAGCGCGTCAAGTCGAATAATAATACAATACAGTGAATCTGTGTATGCTCCAGCTGTGATTTTGCCGAGCACATACACTAACAAACACACATACATACCTCGACTAAGCCGAGCGCAAGTGAAAAAGAGAAACACGGACGCATACAAAAGAAGAAGAGAAAAAAAAAACACGAATGATTTAGATGAATGAGAGCAGAGAGTGAAAACATACAGTACAAATATGGAATGAATGAAAAGGAGCAGAAAGAGTACGAAAAAAATGGTGCAAATTTACGATGTAAAGATGAGAAGACTGTAGAATTCAGCGACAGCAAAAATCATGACTTAAATTTGAAGTTCAATAGCAACAAACCCTCTATTACATCTCTTATATACATATATATATATATATATATATATATATAAAATACTATGTGTTTGCGTATATAGCGTGCGGCTCAAGCTAAAAAGCTTTCTCGGTTAGTACGATATAGAAACGGTATGCTTTATACACGCAAGAAGACACAGCAAAACAATAAGTGAAACGAAAATAGGATGAGCAATGCATGTGTATTCGGTTAAGTGTTAATACAAGCGAAATGAACTAAGATAAAATGCGAATAACTGTAACGAATGAAATTGACGCATCTCTTTAAAAGAAAAACGACTGAAAAAAAGCAACCAAAAAATGTTAGGTTGAAAATACGCGCGCCACGGTCTTGTGCTCATTCATTCAGTGTATATGAATCAACGATTTCAGATTAACATTTCTCACAAGGAAAAAAACATTCGCTGTATCCGTCTTTGCGCGCAGGGATTCTACGCCAAATAAATTCTGTCTATCTATCTATCTATCTATCTATATGTATAAATATAGCTCATGTGCACTTTGACCAAAGTTGTGATTCACTGAAATTATATAATAATATTGACTTAAAAAAAAGAAGAAGAAAAACCAAGATAAAAGGGGAAAAAAGAAAACGTTAGAACTAACAATGCTGATTTATCACCACAAAGAATGGCGACGGAAGCAATTCAAGTCCAATGATTGCATCCATCACCGTTGCCATCAGCATACAAAATGTATGACATATACGTCGAGCTTTTTCATACAACTATTCATTGCGATGACAATCATGGCCACAACACCAGACCGTTCCGTTGCAATGGATATTTTAAACGATCATTCGACAAATGATGCTGTTGATGGTGAGATGTTGTTGCCCGCCATCAATCGACACCATCGCATTGTACTTAACGAAAAATTGCCCCCGCAAAAATTTAACCATCGTGGTCATGGAAGCATGACAATGCCATTAGCATCTAAATCGCATGGCCTAATAGCCGACTATGCCAGAAACCGTGATCAATCAAACCCGGTTCGAGAAGGCATTAGTGCCATGCCATGCAATTGCTCGAATGGAAAATCAACCAAGTTCTATGTGTCAAGTTGCATGCAAATTTGCGCCCGCCAACAGCATCAACAGCAACAGCAACAGCAGCAGCAGCAGCAGCAGCAGCAGCAACACCGCCAACCGCATTCAAACAAATTCAAGCGAAAACGAAAGCAAAGCATAAACCAGCGAAAATTTGCACAAAAACGTGAACACTTGACACTAATCTATGGAATTGATGCCATTAGCAACAGTACGCAGTCAAAACAACGCATTGTTCCGATCCAATCAAGCGAAATGACGGCGTTTGAATTCCGAAGAAAATCACCAACATTCTATCATCGACAACAGTATAGCGACTTTCGCATTGATGAAAAATCACTCAACAATAGCAATGCACATGAAACCATTAAACCAAACCACAACCAAATCCAAGTACTAACATCGACTAATTTACAACAAATGGCATTTTATTCAGACAAGCATTTGGGAAATTTTCAAAATATTGACATTAAGAATAATCGATTGCAAAGCAGTGCAATAGACGATGCCACCAACGGGCACAAGGTACTAAACAACAAAATCATTCAGTCGAACGATGGCAAGAATATTGTGCGAAAAAAACGTTCGATCGAACGAGAAGAAAGTGATAAAAACGGAGCCGAAAAAACAGAATCAGAAAGAGACAGAAAAACCCCACCGACACAAATCGATGCGATGAGCATGACCGAATCGGATTGGCAAAAAACCATGTTATCAACAACAAAAGATTCAAGTTCCATAAAATCAAGGGCAAATGGGATTTTTGATTCATCGAAAATCGAAGGTGGGATAGCTGAGATCATTGGCTCCTCGAATGCTGTTGCTTCTGTTGGCATCGCCGCTACTGCTGCTGCTGCTGCTGCTACGGGTTTCGATGCAAATCGAACCTCCGACTCAACCACATCGAGTAAGTATATCGAGGTTTTTATTTAATTTTTTTCCTGAATTCCACTCCATTTTAACTTTTAAATTTTGATTATTCGTTCGCTCTGTTTTGCTATGATGATTCGACAGCAAAAATATTATTGTTTTGCATTTCGTCTCTGAATGAAATACGTAGTAAATAGAGAATGTCGAATCCGTGCATAACAACAAACAGAGTGTTCGAATTCGTGCAGACACAAAACAGAAAACCGAATGTTGAACTACATAGAAAATAAATTGTATATTTTGAAATGCAAAGATGGTACAAGGTTGGCTACCGATGCGGTTGGCATAAATGACTATGTAAATTATGCATCGGATGACAGTGGTGTGCTAAGGAATCTGGCATCGAATCTTCGGCATACCGACCAACAACTTATTGATCTGTCGGCCAACAACAAACCAGACACTGAGGAGTGGCTACTCACAAACACATTACAGCCACTAAGTACGGATAAAGTGATCGGCATAAATAAAACGTGCGCCACAGTTGATGGCAACGATGGTGACACAATTACGTGCTATCAGGAAAATGTAACGTGTGTAGGCGATCCAGAGTATTGCAATTATACCGAACTCGAATATCTTCAAATGCTTTATGACTATATTTTTCCGACGCCTGGTGAATGGGTATTAATTGGATTTCATGCCGCTGTGTTTATAGTCGGTTTGGTAAGTTCGTTTTTTTTTTGTTGTTGTTGCTTTTGTCTGATGCCAATTTTTGTTTGTTGATTAACCCATCTGGTTTTTGTTTCCGCAAACGAATGTTTGTCGCTTTTTCAACCATTTTTCGAGTTGTAGTGGGTGCTGCTTTCATTTTTATTTTTTTATAGATAAATAATTTCATGATACAGCACACATACACATACACACGACCATACACACATAAATAACATGAATATTGTGGTCGAATGTGACATTTGATAAGTTCATTGATATCATTACCCCAGAAAAAAAAACCTATTCGATTTCCCGTTCAATGGATATTCAATCGAATTTTACATCACATTTCGAAAGCAAAAAGCATGTTGCAAAGAAGCCTCACTGTCATTTTGCATGGAAATTCTTCAAAACGATTTGAGTGCTAATCATATGATTACATGACGGCTTTCATTTAAACTAATAGTGAAGTACATTCCAAAAGAAAATCGCAACATGCTATTTATGGCGAAGCAAACACAACACAACACAAGACTATTTGTACAACAACAAAAGCCATTTGTTATCACCACTTATTTGCATACGCTACATTTCTTCGTCAGTTTCGCTAATTTAGTGACTGACCGCTTTTTATTTCGTTGAGTTGGCAAATATATCGACGGTTATTTGGAAACGTTTGTTCGTTGGTTCGTTCGGGTGAATGATGTTTTGGGTGCGCTTTTATTGTCGTCGTTTTTACGTGTCTATGTGTTTAGACCCGAATATTTTCGATTTTTTTCCCTATACTCTCTCACTCTGTATCTCCGTATCACCCTCTCTCTCTCTCTCTCTCTTTCTGCTTCACCCTCTCGCTTAATGTTCGAAAAAGGCAAGTTGCATGGCCAACAGTTTAATAGGTTAGTGTATATAAAAAGGGATCCGAAACCAATACGAGATTCATATTTTTCAGTGGAACCTTTTTCGTCTGTTCGATTTGTTTTAGTGCCCTCGTCAATTCTCTATTTCCCTTCCACTCGTTTACTGTTTTCCGTTTCGAGATTCTGTCATTGACTAGTCAGCGTTATTTTCGAATCAATTATATGACTTGTAATTTATTAACTGACACAGACGGTTTGCTACGAGTTAAGAATTCAAATATGGCATTGGAAGAGAGAACGAACACGCGATAGAGAGAGAGAGAGAGAGAGAGAGAGAGAGAGCGAGAGAGAGCGAGAGAGAGCGAGAGAGAGCGAGAGAGAGAGAGAGAGAGAGAGAGAGAGAGAGAGAGAGAGAGAGAGAGAGAGAGAGAGAGAGAGAGAGAGAGAGAGAGAGAGAAACGCATTCGTTTCAATCGAATTGTTTGTCTCAACTTGTTCAGTCGCATCGATGGGAATAACAAGAAATTTTTGTTTAATTACTTCAAAGTTGTGGCTATGGAAACTGATCCCTTCCCAAATCGACCCGATGCAGCGAACGAGTAAAATATAAGCAAACTTTTTATTATTTGCCTACGACCAAATTCAGTTAAACCATATCAACTGATGGCAGTTCTCAAATCCAACAAACAATTGAAATGATACGTTCCAAGTTAAATGACCTCACAACCGAAGCAAGATGAAGAATTGAAAAAAAAAAGAAATTAAATCAAATAAAATCGTCGCCGGTTCGTTGATTTTCGATATTTTGGGATTGACATACAGCCCAGCGGTATAATATTTTCGCATAGTATTCCAAACTTATTCGGTTTTCGTTGCTCTTTTTTGTCGTGTTGTTCTTTCAGCTTTGAGTTCAAATGGCTTTGACACCGAAAACTGTTCCAACTGTTTTCGACATCGAAGCTTTGTTCAATGAAAAAGTAGAGAGGAAAAAAAACGGTTTCTATCACAAATTCAGAGACAGATGGTTTTTTTTTTGGGTTCAGACGAAAATATTAAAATTTTACGATTAACATCTCTCCCCGCTGTGTGTTGACCCAACAATACAGATAAATAAAATATTACAACGAAGTTTATTTCCAAAGAAATTCGCATCACTCATCGCAAAAACATTACGCTATCTATATTCGGTTTAGATTTGCGTCATTCTGTTTTTCCATCTCCCTGGCGAAAAATTTAATGAACCGGCAAAAGCGCATTTTTTTTCTACTTCTTTTCGTCTGGAATGAACGATGATATTCATATTAATCGACGCGCACAATGTCTCGGCAAATTACTTGAACGTTTCAAATCCTTCGGATGATTAATTTCACCTTTAATGTCAGAGAACGAGAGTAACATGAATAAGTAGACATACATATCTAGGCCAAAAATTTAAAATTGCGACTTATTTATTATTGGAAGTATCGTCGGTCATAAGGTCAATCCGTGAAAAAATTTGAAAATCAACTGCCCGTCGTGTTTGTTGCGTCGATTCTGCACCTTTTCGATAAAATGCATCTAAAAATAGAATGATAAACAGAATAATTGTTTGGCCAAATGGGCAAATTAAAATCGAAGTGGCCGACAAATTAATGCTAATCGGTCAATCTGTTTCGAAATTGTTTTTACAACCTTCAAGATAATCGACCACTTGTTTCGAAACGAAACAAAAATGATATATTACGTATCGATCGAATATAGCAACTGTTTATATCAGGGCAAACTTTTTACTTTTGCCACCCCAAATGGTTTTCGGACCATAAAATAGCAAATTTGCTTTATACAACAAATATTTTGATTGGAGTTGGATGGAAATACAATGTATATAACAGTTGTACTATAACTGCTCTTGTTAAACGTGTGAAGTTTGTAATCAGTCAGATTTTAGTGGTATGTAATGATGTGCAGCACATCGAATGAACGTGTGAGCTGTGAAGTTTAAACTGAACGCTCGTTAAAGCTCACACGTTCATTCGACATTTAGCTCATATCTTTAAACTTAAATCTGTGCATTCTACCATCATCTTACGTTTAACAAGAGCAATTATAGTAGAACTGTTCTGCATTGTATTTTTATTCATCATCTCACGGTAATATTTGGCAAAATTTCATCTTCCAATTGCTTTACTTGCTATCGTTACATCGCATTCCAATAAAAAAATTGTGTTGTATTGAGAAAATTTGTATGGAATCTGTCTATTTTGACATAATACCACAAGAGATTTGCTATTTTGTAGTCCGAAAACCATTTGAGGTGGCAAGCAGAAGTAACAAGTTTGCCCTGATTTATATTTTACTAAAGCTTTCGCTTCATGCAAAGACATAAGACGATTATAATCATCCCACAAGCTCAGCAAATATGAAGAGCTATACTGAGAAACAGAAAAAAAAATTAGGCGAGATTGCAATTTATTCAATGTTTTAGCTACGCTATTCAATTAGGCATTCAAGTAAATTGGCCATAACCATAACATTTTGTGTATGTGTATAAGTGTGAAATCCAAAAGGTACAATAGACATTTTTGTGTGCATAACATGGGTTTTGGGATTGTTTCCGTGGAAAAAGGTGATTGCAAAAATCTCATCTTAATTTACATAGCAACATTAAAAATGTACCCACAAAATGGTCCTCGAGTGATATTTTCGTGTTTGAGATTTTTGTGGTAAAATATGTGATAGAGAGAAAGAGTGTACTATCAAGGATGCATTGTCACGATAGTGTTTCATCATACGCATACCATACGTGTTGAACATTGTCTGAATGACGTAAAAGCTGACTCTTTTGAAATGTCATGCATGCTTTCATGTTCATCAGTTCAACGTTATGCAATAATGGGGATGGGTTGGGCTTTCCTATGTGTACATGCGTCAAATATGCATTCACTTGTTGGCATCCCTTAAGCTCCAGCTCATTTCGTACCGATGCGAACGCATACACTTTTGTTACTCGCTTAATTTCATTATTAGTTTGTTTATCAACCGTTGTTCTGTTTACACTTCACTCTATCTAAAACTTTTGACATAATTTGTTGTTCAGCTTTTCGACTAACGTACGATTTTGTGATTGTTATCTTTCTTGTTTTTTTTTCTCCATCTCGTTTCATTATTTGTCCTGTTTGCACCCGTGATGGCTGTCAAAATCGGCTTGTAGATTGGTAACATATTGGTATGCAGTGCTGTTTATGCCAATAAATCAATGCGAACCGTTACCAACATATTCATCGTTAATTTGGCTATAGCCGATCTACTTGTGATTATATTATGCTTGCCGCCAACGGTTATATGGGATGTGACTGAGACGTGGTTCCTCGGCGAAGCAATGTGCAAAGTTATTCTATACTTTCAGGTAAGTCAACCAATAATCATTTCGTTGATGCCAAATTACATTCACATGGAGATGAAATCTTTTTTCGTTTTTTCGTTCACCGAACGCGCAAACAAAAGCAAACTAATTAGCGTAATTCGGTGGCTATAACTATATTTTATGGGCAAAGCAAAAGAGAAGGAGGCAAAGTTAGAAAGTGGGGGGAGGAGAGAGGAGACAGAATCTTTCTTTCATCACCGTCGTCGTTGTTTTTTATGATTATGCTTCGCCACCCCTTGACCAATCCAATCTCGTATAATTTCATATGTATAGACGAAACTAATTAGAGCGATGCACAACCGGAATAAAGGTTTTCTGTATTTAATGAACACGAGAAATTTAATAAAAACCTTTTTTTTCTCTTGAAATTTCTTCGGTTTTTCGGTAAAGTACGTGCCGTGGGTCGGTTTGAGAGAAAGATAAAAAAAAAGAGAAATGTGAGCTACACGTCATACCATTTCATGTGGCAAATGGAAGGAAAACCTTCACAACAGCAAGCTCAAAATGAATGCCAACGAAGACCAAAAAAAAACACTCCAAGTTTCATTGACTTGTGTTGGTGGTTTTCGATTTGAGCATTCACCAATAATAAACCATAATAATGAGTGTATATACCGTGAATTATTTATTAAATATTGATTAATAAAACGCAAAATGGAATGTGCTTGTGCACAGGCATTGGTTTTTATGACGGTCAATGGCTGATCGTGTTCAATTTCGGGTTCTCTTCGACTATTCGCTGAGTCTATTGAATTGGATAAATGATAACCCGATTATGGAAAATAAATCAAATAAATTTCATTAGACATGTGTAAATCGTGTAAATCTCTCCAAAACGTCTGCTTGATTACACATAGTACATCAACCGTCATTTTTCATACGATAGATGGTCCATGTACACGTACATACACACGACCATGTTATGAGTGTATTGCATTTAAATAAAGTTCAAGCGCACATCGTTTATCATTTTGGCACTGACGCATTATCCCACTCCCGCTCAAACATATCGCACTACATGGCATGCAACGACCAGTTAAATTATTAAATATAAACGAATTGAGACGACATGAATTAATTTCGCCCTCTGTCTGCGGATAAAATACTGTGCACACATTTGTATCCCGAAAAAAGTTCATACAAAACCTAATATTAACAATCATCTTAGCACTAAGCCAAATTCATGGGTTTATTGAAAATTGTGTGTGCGTTGAGACTTGTGAGGTAGAGAAGACAAAGCAATCCTGTGTATTCAAAACGAATGAAACAGAGAGAGAGAGAGAGAGAGAGAGAGAGAGAGAGAGAGAGAACATTTATACACTTGTCCTCTGGGCGTATGTAAATAATAATATTCAATCCATTGATTTGAGTCATTATATTATAGTTTCAATGTGGTTACAAGAGGTGCATGGTTCATATTACAACCTAGTTTTTCAGTTTGTGGCGCCTAATTGCCTGCTATTGCTATGGAACTAACTATTAATGAAATCTGATAGTCACTTTGCCAAACAATGAGTACCATCATGTATACATGGTAATTTCCATTCCCGCCAATGTAACCGATTTTCTATGGCTCGAAGCCAATAACGCGGAATATGCAAGCCACACTCACCATTTTAAAACCCATCCAAAAGTGTGTGTGTGTGTGTGTGTGTGTATGCATATTATTATTATTATGAACAATACACTTTCGAAAGGTGAGCTTATTATGATGATCATTACTGAGAAAGTTTGCCGCGCACTCAGTTCTTGTTTTATTTGTGTTGAAGAGCGTACCAAATGCGCTTTTGGTCCCATCATCTCACACAATCCGATTGTAGAATGCATGAATGCATATGAGTCAAGTCTTTCGCTCATTTTCTATCTCCATCGCCATTCTCATCGTCTTTCTAACTCGCTCACTCTTTTTTGTTTCTTTCTCTCCTCCATTCTATATCCTCTGCAACGACTTTATCGCCGATTCACGCTTCAAAACTTACCCAACGTGACGGCTACAATATTGAATTATATAACAAATTACGCTATTTTAAATTGTATTATAGAAAAGTTAAATAAAATTGAGCAAAGTCGTATGAATCCCTCGGAGAATAAGTTATTTTTCGTTTCCAAAGAGTGACGCACTGAACTGACTTGTGCATAGAACTAATCTCTCTTTCTCTCCTAACACAATCGTGTTTTGCATATTTATTTAAACTCATTAAATAGCATACGGTTGGAAAAAAGACACAGACACACACATACGCAAACGCACCCTCCCACGCATATAGTTTGTGTTACAGACTAATCCATGCATTGTCAAATGAATTGAGTTAATTTTAAAGCATCACATTGGATCTGAACCGAATGCATTATTTCTAGTCCAATGATTTTTGTGCAGTAATGCAACTGATAAGCGACATCGATTGGGATTATTATTGGCATTGATGGTCACATGTGGCCTAACACAAACCGAAGCCCAACCTCAAACTGAAACGACGCAGTAACTTGGCTCTAATCTAATATCACTCTCGTGATTCAAAAAGTTCCATAAAGAATCCAATTTCCTTCGAGTTAAACTTCTCCCTATCTTTCTATCTCTCTCGAGATTCCTCTCTGTCTCCATATATATCTATCTTCACCATCGTTCGGTCGACATGGCATCAGATCTAGGCGTGTTGAATAAGATGTTTCGGTTTTGATGCCGACTTTGGCTTTGAGCTACGGCTCAATTCATTGTCAATGTCCATGGCACAATAAATCAATTTAAATAATAACATTACGATTGGACAACTTGAACGCAAAAGATGAAATTAAATTAAATTAAAATAAAAACGTCTGTAAGTTGTATTGCTGTTCAATAGACCGCATGGAATAAACGGCCTGTATATGTGTGTGTGTCTCCCTGTCTGTACGTGTAAATGAGATGTGTGTGATTAATGTAAATAAACCATTTGGTGTTCGTTTTCTTAATTCTAAAATTGCGAAGCACCAGAGCAAATGACACTGATTCAACCAGCCGCTGGTTGCATGTTACAGCCGTTGGCGAGTCTGACAATTCGACGTGATATGAGAAAAATAGCGAACGCAAAAGTTAGTGACAGCGAGACCGAAAGAGTGAGACAAATGTGCGACCATAAATTATGTCATGCGATATGATATCGTCTTTGGCGTTCGCCCATAAAAATGACATGCATGCTTATCGCACTTGAAATTCATGTGACGTACTTTGAGGAAGTTGATTCAATTTCACCACTCCGTTGTTGTATATGTTTCTTTGCATCAAATATATCTTACGCGCGTGTTCAATATACCTTATATGAGCAACAAGGCAAATGCGGCTTGATTAAAAGGTGCTATTAAACAAAAGCATTACAAATACCACGCGCACAAAGTACATCGACACGTAATGTTTCTTTTTCTCCTACTCTCTCTCTCTCTCTCTCTCTCTCTATTCGATCATCCTCTCTTTTGGCGGATGCGTGAAAAAAAAAAACGAATAATGAACTATGAACCTTGATTTATTAAGTGGTTTATTTTACCAACACCAACGGTAAGATATTGATGGAATGTGCAGGCGATTTCGGCAATAAATTAGTTCAAATATATAGAGCTGAACACTCCGTTCGAGGAGAGAATAATGAGAAAGAGATAGAGCGTACATAATAAGATACAGGTTAATGACAGCTTCTTTGATTTCGTATTTTCCATCAAGTGCGTGCAATGTTCATGTATTCTGTTCCCCCTATGATTGAATTTCCTTTGTTTAACATTTCCTGACCGAGATGATTCAAGCGCAGAAAATTTAAGATGAGATGTGGGCCGAGTGCAAAAACGAGAAAAAGGAAACAAAAATAGCAAACAGGCGTTTTTACCCCTCATGGTTCTTAATTGGTATATCCATGGCATACAGCAAAGAGAGATCCAGACAGTTTAAATTTCGAACAACATCCCACACTACCGAAGGTGTAATCAGGCTTCATAATAACATAATCCAGCCAAAAATCATATACCATCAACAATATTCAATTTTCGTCCAAACAAAAAATGCCACTAATTTTGAGGATTATCTGGAACGTGTGGTGCATAATCGCGAATCAGTTTACATCTTTTTGGCCATATAATCAAGCTCACATTGTTGCTTGCATAAACCTTGAGCTTGGCTAAACAAAAAAGCATTCCGTTTGGCTTGTATAGAAAATTGCGCACGGAATACGCATCAAACGGTATGTTGTCCATAATTTTTCACCGAACCAAAGGGTCGTTTCATTATTCATTACCATTACCATATTACTGGAGCAACGTAAATTACTGCGTTTTTTTCGCCATCGTATATTTGATGGTGGCTCTAAAATAAACTGCTTTGGGCCAAATAATTTGATAAGGAAAAAGTGCGTCGCCGAAAAATAAAAATGTCTCGACAACAACGATGACGACAACAGCATCATCGATTCAGGTACATGGCGAAGCAAGCGTTTTGAAAACACTAATTTACGCAACACATGCTCAAAATGTAACAATTCTATTGCGATCAAATAACGGAGGATGTCTTTTATCCAGGAGTGCGCAAGCATTTTACCGAAATATAGCTTTTAGCTATTGGCCTACGCATTCATGGTTGGCCCATATGCAAATATAAATGTATACCTTTTGTTTGCTCTGTGCACTCTGCCTGTATATAATATAAATTAACATTTTTTTTAAAAGATGTGATGGCAAATAACTTTGTGACTATGAAATGGACCAAAATTAATAATAAAACTTTCACGGTTGGATCTGGTTGTGTCTGATGTTAAATATTTTTGTAAATTTTCGTGTTCTCGCTCCCTTAAACTTTATTGGCGCCTATTATGCTCCCCCATACATTTTAACACGTTAACTTGGATAATTTACACGACAATTTATTGCGTTCCGTTGCATTCGAAAACATTTTATTTTGCGCAAATATCTAATGAGGAAAAGAACAAAATTCGGCACTCTCTTCGTGAGATTCGGAAAAATCAGTTGCCATTTGTTTGTGTTGGTGTGTTTCTCATTTTATCGCAAAGCTCATCTCAATACTACCAACACACAACCACCACCCTCTCATCGCATGTACAGACGAACCACTCCAAAAACGTTCGTGCCCAAATGACAATGGAAGAGCACAGCAGTGAAATATTACTTCTCATTTCTTTTAAATTAAATCGCTGAATAACAACAATATATATATATATATATATATTATATATATATATATATATATACACGTACACTCCCTCGAAGACGGAGTGAAAACGAATTCAATTTGAATGTCACGCAGACGAAAAATGCAAAGTTCAGTTTCATGCTTTTTCTTTCTTCTTCTTCTTCTTCTTCTTCGTCATCAACATCAACATCGTCGTCGTCGTCTCTTTCATGTCCTTCATAAACAGAGTAATATCTCGACATGTTTACTGTAATTTGTTCGAATTTAAGCATCTATTTATTAGCCACTCGCTATTTGAACACGATTTAACCGATGCAATCTGAATTCAGGCAAATGTCGCTCGATTTCTGTGTCGAGACATTTTCAGTTGGAAAATGTCGTTAGATATGTATGTGTGTTGAACAATTTTCGAATTTGCATGGATAATTTAGTACAAAAGTGGGCAAAACCATGTCACTGCTATGGATGTTCGCGTTGAACACAACATTTGATTAATACAGGAATGATGAAACGAAAAATGTTTTTGATTTCGAAAATCACTTGTGCAATGGCATTGTTTGTGCTCAAGTCTGATTGACTTTGATCAAAAGCATAGCTTCTATTCGGACGGACTAAGCACGACCGAGCACAAAATGACTGATTGTGTATGTGTTGTTATTTGGCACGAGACACAAAGGCATGCACAAACATTCAATTGGCAAATGATTAAATATGCGTGCATTTTATTCACCGCCCCACCCCCCCCACTCTACCATACCCGACAGAAACGAACAACCACGTGCCCCGAAACGATGGCATGTGAAACGTGCATAAATTTACCACGCACTTGGAGTGTTCAATGTTCATTGCCGGAAATCGTTGTAAGTGAGTGGCCGATATCAAACAAGAATGTCTAAATCCCGTCATTAGAGCCTTTGAATATATTCATTTCTAAGACCGTTTGTCAGGCGTCTGCAACACGTTCAAATAGCCCAAACATTTTGCCAAATGCAGACAAGCTACACGCGTAATAATTTTTTTTCCCTCTGAATCAAAAGGAAAATCACCTTCAACAGAAATGCCATGCAATGGAAACAACAAAAGGTGCTCATGTCAAGCAAACAAACAACGTGTTGTTGACTGGTTATTTTTTTTTCTCCTCATGTGCGTGCGCGCACGCACGAAAGCACATAAGAGCTTAATTGCAGCCAACTCTAGTAGAATTTATCGAAACGGCGCGATAAAATGTCAATTTACCGTAATTGATGAAGCCACAGTGGATTAACTTCCTTTGACTTGTTTGCGTTTCTCCTTACAATGATACTCTTCATCTTATTTATTTATTTATTTTTTTCGGAAAAGTCATTCTCAGATTAGATTGTTCTATTTACTCATTACACTGAAAGCTATACCCTGGACAATATCCAGTTAAGATGGATGAGTGTTAGATAACATCATTTAGCCCAATTTTCATCGTCATTTCGTCAAATGCGTTTTTCATTTTGTCAACGTGTTTGTTCTATTATATTTTTTTTCTCTCTTTCCCAATCACAATTATGGTTTGGGTCGATGAATTGTCGTTCTTTGTGTTTATTCATCATATTTTATTGTTGCTCAACCATATACAGTATACAAACATACCTATATATATATATATATATATTTTTTTTTTTTTTTGATCTTCTCATTTATTTTTGTCTCATTTAGACGGTTTCCGTTACGGTGTCGGTGCTGACATTGACATTTATTTCGATTGATCGATGGTATGCAATATGCTTTCCACTTCGTTATGTCTCAACAAACGGACGAGCTTGGTGTTCGGTTGGAGTGATATGGATCGGCGCATTGGTATCGGGTAAATACATCGAGTTTATTCACTTTTGCATTTTCAGGACCATCACAACGTATTGATATTGCCGCTTGGCGTAATTAATCCGTACACCAGCACACAAACACATCACAAGCACACAATTCTCTGCGTTTGAACAACACATATAAAGGAATGCAATAAACAATGAAATCGGATTGCCAATGGGGGTACTTGTCGTTTCCGTTTCCATGGTTCTTTTCTCCATTTCAAGTATTCAAAATGAGTACGAGGTTTGCGATACGATGCTATTTGGTGGTATTTTATACGTAACATTAGAATGGTTGACAATGGACTGTTTTTTGTTGGTCCAACATGGAACATAAAAAGTGTGTTTGTTTTGATTCCACGAATTTTGTTCTTTCCATCACATTGAAATTATGTTCTATTTTCAGCAGAATACTACGATTGAAATCAGTTACTGGTCGCCAAAAATCAAACAATATGCGGTTTTCGTTTGATGCGAGCCAAAATAACACCAAATTAACTGATGAAACAAATAATCAAACCGCACAATTGGATTGGATAGTTCAATTAAATTGAAATTGGTGCGGATTTGTGATACGCACACCATCAATAAAATTGAAATAGCAAGTCAAGGAGAACAAAGGGATTTTCGAAATATTCACTCCATTTGGCGATCATCGCTTTTACAATACCAAAAGTCAGTCAAATCGTTTTTATCAATCTCACCATTAAGAGAAAACAAGGCAAAAAAAGCGCCTCTAAGCCCTATCCACCCTACCCAAAATGTCTCTCTCCACCAAAACGGAAAATCAAAAAGTATTCAATTTAAGATCTATTCGGCGTGAATGCTTCCAAAGAAACTCTTTGCCAGCTCTTGGTACCATTGAGTTTGAATGCGAGTTGTGTTTTGGTGCGGCATTAGTTGACTCCTTCTCCCCCGCTGTTCGCCATATTGAATACAGATTTTTAACTGTGTGTATGTCATTTATAATCAAGATAAAACTGTATCTTTTTCTTCTACTTTTTAATTTTGGCTTTGGCCGCAATATTTACATGTTGCATAATTGTCCAACAACGTGACCGCTCATGCTGTGTACGCCGGCTTTATCTATCTCGCAACCTCCGCCGCCGCACTCCTGTCCTCCAACGACATTGAATGCTGATGTGGTTCTACAGACATCCCTGAATTCATAAACTCAACCACAAAGAAAAAGGAATTACGATTTGGCATTGATTTATTCACACAGTGTGTATCAACGTGGGACAAAGACACCGAAAAAAATTTCTACATCGCTCGCTTCGGTGTGCTGTATTTGTAAGTTATTTTTTTCATTCTATCTTGCCTCAAATTTCGCTACAAAAAAAAAGGATCCAACAAATTTTTCGTTTGTCGTCGTACGAGCACTTGCTGTGGCTCTATGCTTTCTTTAGGTCATTTGGTTGTATTTTAAAACTAATAAATAAACATATTTTAGCCTAATTTGTTTGCTACTCATTTTCTTCTTCATGTGTCCAATGAGAGGATGGATAGAGCGACAAACAATAGAATCGCAAATTGCTCCATGCTTTTTATGCACATAACTTATGCGCGTTGACAACCTAATGCATGCTCATTTCCACCGAAATTGTGAATGTTCAGCAGCTTTTCTCTCTCCCTCTCTCCCTCTTCCTCATTTTTCCTGTCTCCCAAAGTATGCCATTTCTGAAAATAGCAAGCTTTTATTTAGTTCTCAGGACATTTTATTTTTACGATAAATATTTTTTTCTTTCACTCCCTTTATCACTCTTTCTCTCGCTCTCTCTCTCTCTCTTTCTCTCTCTCTCTCTTTCTCGGTATTTAGTGTAGCGAAATACCATAGCGTTGCATGTTTTGTAACGAATTTGTAACTGCTGTTGTTGGTGGCGAGTGTTGTTTCTGTTTTCTCTCGTTTTGACAAGCAATTTGCATGACAATAGTATTGCATTTTATCGGTTTGAACCACGAAGGACATGACAGAGAGATTTTTGTGCATCACAAAAGGATTGCGAGATTTTATATTTGTGTTACAGACAGTAAAAGAAATAACAACAACAAAAAACGCACGCACCCCAATTTCATATAAATTTAAATCTTTTGAATCGTTCAAGTTACCGCTTTTGCCATGTTTTTTATGTGTGATATTTTTCACTTTCCACAAATGTGCAATTCAGGGCAGGGCGTAAGCTTTGATTTGTTCACGCTTTGCTGTTCGCTTCAACGATTTCTCGTGTGCCAGTGGCGCGTCGTCAACTCTTTCCAGTTTTTTTCGTTTTTTTTTCTTCTGCAGCAGCAGCACCAGCACCAGCACAAAAGAGATTTGTTCGCCCACTGTGCTCGCGTACACTTGGTAGCTTTTAATCCTTCAATGCGATCCGCTTGAAAAACGCCAACGTATTTTGAACGAGCAAATTTTTCGGTCACTTCACAGCAAAACATCTATTTACGATGAGCTACATAAAAAACGACCATTTACTAAATGTTTAATATATGAGCGTGAGAAAACGTACAGGTTCTTTTGTTCCGAAGTGCTGAACTGATAAAAAGCAGTAATATTGCCTCTTGTCTGACCGAAGTATGATATCAAAAGAGTTATTCGTGCTCTGAAAATTACTTTTTGATAAGGAACACAGCTTCATTGGAACGCCAATAACCACTTTTTTATGCATAATAGTACATTTCCTTTGGCTATAATAAAATGTGAATGAAAACGAAACTCATTTCGACAATGCAGTTTCTTCTAAAATCCTCCTTTTTTGTCCATTCAAAGAACTTTGTTCTCTTCTTTTGATAATTCAAAAGATACGTTTCTGAATGGAAAGAAGAGAAAACAGCATTGCATTATCAAAAATAAAATTCATTCACCGAAAGAACCTCCGAGTTTTCTTTTCAATTCGTTCTAAAAAGTTGCACAATTCAACATTCGCATTTAATCATTTTTCCGCGTCCAACAGACAAAGTTGATATTTCAATTTGGCCAGCTTAATGCTGCAACAACATTAAAAGCTCTGTCTTTTCATTCTCGATGCTAACAATAGAACTGCTTCGTTTTTTTATCCGTCGCTTTCTCAGACATTGCCAGTAGCATATTTTTATTTCAATCAATTCCAAGTTCGTTCCTATATATATAGTATATCCTATCTAAAATCCTAGAAATTTTGCTGCGGATATTCGTTGTGGTCATGATCATTTGTAAGAAAGTAAGCGACGCAAAAGAAACTCATTGCCATTTATTTTCTCAGAAAAAATCTTCTCTATCACACACTATTGCACAAAGTCACCCCTTTTATCCTCTACAATGCATTCAACAATTATGCCTTAAGTGTACCCGAGCTGGATTAAATTGTTTTAGAAGAAATATTCTATCAAAGTCATGTTCACTTTTAGCTTGTGCATTAATGAAATATTCCAGATTTAACTGTTCAAATTTTATTCTCTAACCAAATCTCTCCCTTTCTCTCTGTCCGTCTTTCCGTGCAACTACTGAAAGTTTCATAATATAACGAAAACTGCTAATAAATTAGAATGTTCATAGATAAACGCTCCGTACCAACTAAATAGTATGTATAGGGAGTTCTACATTGATGAATTACTTAACCCTCTAGTTCGTAAGACCACCGAAAGCCGAGGTGTATAAATTTACTCATAGCTCGAGCACCATATTATAAACTGACAAAAATATAGTAGCGTTGCATTGGGTAGGCTTTCAGCTTTAATTTGGTATATAACTTCACCAGTCCAAGGCATGCTGGTGTCGAGTTATACGCCCTCAACGTCGGAAAATTGCGAATTCCGCCAAAAAGTGGTGTTGCGAAGTAAAGGGTCAATTTACAGAAAAACAGGCTTGGATGGCGCATTTGACTAGATATCCAGGCATGAATCCCTTCATTTGAAAGGGAAAGAGACGTATAAATAGCCGTTTAAATCTTTGAAATTCTCAGTTTGGTTTTCAAGATATGAACATTCGCGTTTTCAAATTTCGAAAAGTTTTTCCAATTTTCCGGCTGAAGAAAAGCTTTTGGGAAAAAATTTTTTTTTTCGTTTTTCGGCTTAAATCTAACATATCTATAGTATTCGCAAAAATGGCGCAGTAGAGAGCTAATTTTGAATAGACCGAAATAATCTTAAATAGAAAATAAATTTGGTCACTTGAAAAATGTATGACAGTGCACTTTATCGAAACAATGGTAACTGGGACAATTTCGAGCGTTTAATCAAAGTGTTCAATCATCAAAGATAAATGTATGAAAAATGCAATACAGCTTCAAAAATTCTATTGAATATAATTCACCGACTGAATTTGGTTCTTCAAAAAATGTGCATAACGACAAGAAAATTAAATTCCTTCGAATTCCATCACTCATTGAAATTGCGTTGATCGCAAAATCTCACGAAATCAAATACACTTGGTAGTTTGTCTGATACGACCTGTGCAGATTTTCCATAAAATGGAAATCAACTTGTATGCCACATAAAAGCCCCAGAAGAAATTCCAATAAAAATCGTTTGGTTGCATTGGAAATATTTCAAAAATGTTAGGTTACCAATCGGCTGGTTCATTTCCCTCTGTGTCAAACACTTGTTTGACTGGACTAAATTTAGTGCTGAACCATTCGTCTTTCGTGTAATTTTCTATATTTAATGCGTGTGCATGTGCATGTTAATGGAATGGAATAATATCAATTTTAATAGCGTTACATTTAGTTGTGTTGCCATCGAAGTGACATCGTGTTGTCACATTTAATACGTGTTTATTGAAAAGGGCTTTTCATTGAGCAATCATCACGTAAGCACATCAAAATCAGCCGATCACACACTTTATTCCGTTACATTGCAAGTATTTTGAGCGATATCGGTCCCTTTTTTTAAAATCATGTATTAAGAGAGTGTACCGCAATTTTGGTGGGTTTCATCAACATGACAGTGATGTCCGTTTGAAGGCAAAATGATATATAGAAACAAAAAAATTGCGAATCAGCAGATTCAATTTCCAAGAAAATAAATCAATATCGAAGATGTTGGTCGTTAAACTGTTGGGATTTATGAATTGATTATTATTATTATGATTCAAGCCCGATGACAAAGCAAAAGAAAAGAAGAGCAGAGTAAAGGCGACGACAAACAACAACGTATGCACATTAAGTAGACAGATTATTATTTGGTTGGTAGCGTTCTTGTGGAAACTGTAATGCTTTTTTTCTGTATGTCAACAATGTATTTGGGTCTATTATCCGATTACAAAAACACACATTTGCTTCCAGGATACGATGATATGAACGATTTTGGTTTTGTTTCTCTTATTATTCCCTCCTCTGTTTTGTTCGCATTTTTTTTTAGGGCACCGTTGTTTTTCATGTCCATCGCATATTATAAAATCATCCGTGTCCTCTGGAAATCGGATACGATTCCAGGCCATCGGGAGTCCTGTAATCACAATCAATTGCACACAATACGTAAGTAATTGTCATCATTGATTAAATTTTAATTGATTGATTCATTCGAAACAATTAATAAACATAAAGATGAAAAATGGCCCCCGGATTTTTTTTCCGAAATAATAGTAGAAGAATGCTTCTACTTAATAGCACATTAGTGTGATTTGATTGATTATCATTTACGATTTGTTACAGGAAAAAGTTACATTCTGTGAAAATGTCGGAGTTAAAAATGTTTGAAAAATTTTTGTATAGAACACAACTTTGCGATTCATTCTGTTGTTGTTTTTTTCTTCATTGCAGATGCGCGAAATACTTCTGCCAATTCAAGTACATTGAGCCAATTGAGAGCACGTCGAAAGGCAGCTAAAATGCTTGTGGTCGTCGTTTTGATGTTTGGTATTTGTTATTTACCCGTGCATTGCTTGAATATTTTAAGGTAATTAACGATGATTTTTCATTCGTATCGATTAGGTTTACGTTGTCAACGTTTTATTTGGTTTACACGTATTTATCGGAAATGTTCGACATTCAATCAGTATTAGTTAGCTATTGGAAAATCAATGATATTTTTTATTCTTCTTGCAAAAATCACCATTTCAGCTGTAAATCCTTTTTAAAAGGAAGCTTTGATGTCTTGTTAACATCGATGATTCGAATATCATATGACGATTCGTATATATGAAAATGTTTGAATGAATCTCACACACACAAGAAGGGTATCCATCCTCTTATTCTGATTAAAAGTCCCAAATTAAAAGCAGTCGATCAAACATAAAGAGATTACATCATTTCCATCTAAAATCACCATTAAGCTTTTACGCAATTTTTCACTCCGTTTTACACCGAACTGCGTCAGAGCACAAAATACTTTTATTTACGATATATAAAAAAATGTAGAAGAAGAAGACGTCGACGACGAAGACATAATTTTAATGAGCCAGAGCAAACACGATTTTATCGGATTATAATGCTTGAAATTGTTATTGTATCGAATTGGCAGCTTTTAGTTCATAAACTGTCTCTAACACTCTTTCATACCATCTCCTTGTGATTTTCTCTATTTATTTTTCCTCCTCTCTCTCTCTCTCTCTCATTCCATCATGTCTCATGGGTTTCATTATTTTCCAACAGATACACCATAGATATAGGACAGAATGAAGTCGTGGCGATATTGTCATTAATTTCACATTGGCTTTGTTATGCAAACAGTGCGGTGAATCCATTAATCTATAATTTTATGAGCGGTAAGTGGCCATTTCAGATTTCCCATTCATCTAATTGCTGTGCATAATTATGAAGAAAAAAAGAAATAAGCAAGAATAACTTAATATTATTTTACGCATTATCTTGCTTCTCTTTGCTTTCTCTTTTTTCCCTCCTTTTTTTATTTATAGGAAAGTTTCGCCGTGAATTTTTAAGTGTGTTGGAACGATGCCGGTGCAGTAATCGAGATTTATATCGTCATCATTCATGCTATCACTTCAACACACCTGGAGCACGACTCAATACAATTAGTCCAAATACCCGTAGTCTATGCCAGTTTGGAGGCCATCACCGCGACCGAAACAAAAGTTTTCGCGAAAAGCATGTGAGTTTTCTTGAGCATTTTGAATCTGAATGTTGAAACCAAAAAAAAAAAACCAAATCTCGATCTCGAAATTCACCGATTCTTGTTGCTTCTTTTCTGGTTCTCATATCGCTTGCGCGTGGGTGTGTCTCTCTCTCTATGTCTTGCATTGTCTGTACTTCAATCCATTCTTCTTTACTCGCCCTCCATTCCATCCGCAATATAAATCATGATGTTTGCGGCGCGAGAGCAGACGATCCAAACGTCATTTATCGAAAATGTTTGTGATATTTATCCAGGTAGCATCGATGATGGTCAAAAGTTTGACATCAATACAAATGGAACATCATTATCAAAAACCATTCCAAACGGCGACCGGCTACACACACCAACGGACTAATTCATTTTTTTAACAATTGTAACTTACACACAATCCCCCACAACAAAAACATACACTTCACTTTAAAATTGTAAAATAAATTATTTGTAAAAAAAACACGCATTTTTTTTTCTTTCATGAAAACCAAAACATATATTCACGTAAACCCTTTTAATTGTCTAAATATGTAATATCTGTGCATATAAGTCAAAATCAATTATTATGATCAAAGAAAAGAAAAAAAAAAATAAAAGGATTTTTTTTCGTTGCAAACAAGTAAAAAAGCCGTATATATTCCGCTTTTGAGGGAACAATCGTCAATCAAAGAACGAGTCGTAAATTCTTGCAGATTTTTATACCATTGTGTTTTCAAGCAGTAGTAGAGAAGGTATGGACTCAAATACACTGTACTTCACTACTATTAATTGATAAATAATCATGGCGTCTCCATATTATTGCAAAAAGCACGAATGGTATAAAGCCTTTACACGTTCTTTAACTTAAAAATTATACTATCAATTTATATGTAAGCGCTTAAGCAGCTGGTATTTCCAAGAAATGATGCATTTATTATTCAAAGGCCCTCGTGTCTCAATTTCTCTTGAGACAAAAAATGAAGAGAATGGGAGACTGTGAAATTTGATATACACGTGAAATAACTTGCCTTAACCTCTATGACGCAAACAGAGTCATTCGAGCGAAAGAGTGTGTAATAAACAGAATGAATGAAAAGGAAAATGAAAATGAAAAAGAGAACAACAGCTAAATGCAACACTGAAATTTGTACAAACATTTAAAATGTATTCAACATTAATAATAAAAATTGTTTTAAATGTCATTTGTTTATAGATGTTAAAATTAACCTACTGACTTTCATTTGTTTTTCCGAATAAATAACAGTAATAATGATAAATGGTTAATATCTAAATCCGATTAACTGGCAACAATGTAGGTTATATTCTTAGGTTTTCTCCTTGGTCTTTTGTTTATTTTAATCGAAAGAACGTCCATACCAAGAGAGAATGCTCACCTTATTAGTTGAATGACGTTTGAAAGACGAATCGCCCACTTTCAACCTGAAAAAATGTGTGCGAATATGAAAAGATGCACAAACATACACATTCCTGGGATTTGTTATGGATGAGCATTGAAAATAAGTCGACAAATGACATCATTCAAATTATTTTTATTCTCTGATTTGATTATGAGATTTTTTTTTTGTTTCTTTTTCTTCCACTCTTTTGTTTTGCTTATGTTTTATACTCGATAAAATTTGGTAAAAACCTTTGCGCCATTCATTTATCCTTTTTTTTTTCATTTCATTTTAACAACAAATTTTATTGTGATCTTGCATGACTGCATGTACATAAATGTGTGAGATCACTCGACACGGCCGTTATATGAATAAAAACACTGAATCTTTGGATGAATTTTTGAGTGTGTCTAGAAGCATTTGCGGTGAACGATTGATGGGCCGCTTTCATCGTATTCCGCCTTCGAGATCCACATGGCCTGGAAGGTAGACAATGAAGCCAAAATTGAACCACCAATCCATACGGAGTATTTACGTTCGGGTGGTGCAATAATCTTGATCTTAATAGTTGATGGTGCCAATGCGGTGATTTCCTTTTGCATACGATCAGCAATACCTGTGAAACGAAATCGAATCCCGAAAAAAATAATCAATCAATCGATCCGTTTCAATCAAAGTCTCATTTTTATTTACCTGGATACATGGTGGTACCGCCTGAGAGTACGGTGTTGGCATACAAGTCCTTTCGGATGTCAACATCGCACTTCATGATTGAATTGTAAACGGTTTCATGAATACCGCATGATTCCATACCTAAAATTTAGAAAGGAAAAAAAGCACGCATTGTGAGTGTCGAGTTCCTTCAGTATAACTTGGTAAGTTCGAATTCCAAAGAATTTGAATTTTTAAATGAGATTCAAGCAAAATTGCTTCGAAAATGCTCGATATAAAAGAGGGCATACCTAAGAATGAAGGTTGGAATAGCGATTCTGGGCAACGGAAACGTTCATTACCAATGGTGATGACTTGACCATCTGGCAATTCATATGACTTTTCCAATGATGTTGAGGCCGATGCAGTTGCCATTTCTTGTTCAAAGTCCAATGCAACGTAGCACAATTTTTCCTTGATGTCACGGACAATTTCCCGTTCGGCGGTGGTTGTGAATGAGTAACCACGTTCGGTAAGGATCTTCATAAGGTAATCGGTCAAGTCACGACCAGCCAAATCCAAACGGAGGATGGCATGTGGCAATGCGTAACCTTCGTAAATTGGGACAGTGTGTGATACACCATCACCGGAGTCCAATACAATACCAGTTGTACGACCGGAAGCGTACAATGAGAGGACAGCTTGGATGGCAACATACATGGCTGGTGAATTGAAGGTTTCAAACATGATTTGAGTCATCTTTTCACGATTGGCCTTTGGATTTAATGGGGCTTCGGTCAAGAGGACTGGATGCTCTTCTGGTGCAATTCTCAATTCATTATAGAAGGTATGATGCCAGATCTTCTCCATATCATCCCAGTTAGTAATGATACCGTGCTCAATTGGGTATTTCAATGTAAGGATACCACGTTTGCTTTGGGCTTCATCACCGACATAGCAATCTTTTTGGCCCATACCGACCATCACACCCTGATGACGTGGTCGGCCAACGATCGATGGGAACACGGCACGTGGTGCATCATCACCAGCGAATCCGGCCTTGCACATGCCCGATCCGTTGTCGACGACAAGAGCTCCTGCATCATCATCACACATCTTGGTTTGTTTTTATTTGCTTTTCTTACCTTTTTTGAACGATAAAAGTGAAAGTTTTAGTGAAATTGAACTACGAATTACTACACAATTAAAGGATAAAACGAATCGCTAGATTTTTTTTTACAATTTCAATTCAAATGAAAAGTCGGTTAGGAATTTTACAAATATGAGCAAATCCTTTGCTGTTTCACTTTAAATCGGTTAACGCTTTTTGGTCTTTTGAAGAAAAAAAAGTGGAAACAATTAGAAGAGTCTTTCTCAATATCTTCTTAAATGTATGTCAGTTTCAGCCACACAACACTGATTTTTGAAATTTTTCGAGCGAAATACCAATGTGCACTGTTTTAAAACAAAATAAACTTTGCTTTTTATCTATCACCGTTATTGATTTTGCTAAGCCTACTAACCTCTTGAAAGAAAATGGAGACTTTTTGGCCTGTTGTCGGCTCTAGACTGATTTGTCGAGTGAAATACGTTACATCCGTACCGTGTACTTTTATACCTCACAAATGATCATCTCTCGATTTATGACCGTGCGAGTAAAAAAAATCATAACGAAGAGTACACAACAACAACAACAAAATGGTTTTTGTTCAACAAAACCGAGAGAGAGAGAGAGAGAGAGAGAAAAGATATGAAACAAAAAAATCTAACAACGTCATGGATGCATGTGTTGGTGCAACATTGTGGCACAAACCAAGTAAAGTAAGTACGAGTGTAGCGTTGCAAAAGCGTGCGACATTTTATGTTTTTGTTGTATCGTATTTTCTCTTTTGTCACTTAAATTTTGCGATTTTCTGAGTAAAATTGCAATTTTTTCTTCTCGTCTATACCATCATTCCACTCGAATTTGCTTCGTTCGTTTCGAGAAGTAGCTATTGGGTCTGGGAATTAGTTTTGTCGATTTTTTTAAATTTTCAAACATTTATTTGAATACCAAAATGAAATTACATTTCAATCAAAATATTGTCCATCGGAAGCGATGACCTTCTGCCACAATGTGAGCAATTGACGGATGCCTGCCTTAAAAAATTCCTCATCTTTTGAGGCTATAAATGCATCGAGCCAATTTTGGATTTCTTCAACTGAAGAGAACCGCTCTCCGTCCATATGGTTTTGCATCGATCGAAACAAATGGTAGTCGGAAGGAGCCAGGTCTGGGCTATACGGGGCGTGAGCCAAAACTTCCCATCCGCTATTTTCCAAGTAGTTTTTGACCGATTTCTCAATGTGTGGCCGAGCATTGTCATGTAGGAAAATCAATGTCTCTTTTCTGGTCTCCCATTTCGTGCGTTTTTCTTTGATTGCTTGTTTCAAACGTATCAATTGTTGTCGGTAGAAAGGCCCATCGATGGTTTGACCACTTCTCAGCAGCTCATAATACACCACTCCCTCCTCATCCCACCAAATAGACAGCATTACCTTGTCGCCGTGAATTTCTTGTTTTGGCTGTGATGTTGCTGGTTGGCCGGGCTTAACATACGATGCTTTGCGCTTGGGGTTATCGTAATGAATCCATTTTTCGTCACCAGTGACAATTCGATACAGAAAACCTCTTTTTTTGTGCCTTGCGAGCAGCATTTCGCAAGTCACTAAACGCCTTTCAGCTTGCGCTGGCGTCAATTCATGTGGTACCCAATTTGACAACTTGCGAATGAAACCAAGGGCCCTTAAACGATATCCAACAGTGCTTCGGTCAACATTCAATGCTCTGGCAAGCTCATCTTGAGTTTGACTCGAATCTTCATCGAGCAATGCCTCCAATTCCGCATCTTCAAACTTTTTTGGCTGGCCGGGACGTTCCTTGTCTTCCGTGCTAAAATCACCACTTTTGAACCGTGAAAACCACCGTTCACATGTACGTTCCGATGGAGCATGCTCACCATAGGCTTCCACCAACATTCGATGCGCTTCAGCCGCAGTTTTCTTCAAATGAAAGCAAAAAATTAATGCTTGCGGGAAATGTTGCTTTTTCGGTACAAAATTTGACATATTTAAGGCGCAAAAAAAAATGTTTATCCAAACTTCGATGAAATGATAGATGATGATTTTTGTAGTTTGACACTAGACCACTCATGTGAAAAAGAAAAAAGTATTGCCCGATACAACCATGCAAAGTTACGCCATCTTTTGAAAAATCGACACGATTAATTCCCAGACCCAATATCTCAGAAGAAGAAGCTACTTAAGTAGTACTTGAATTCAAATGATCCGACTGCTTGAATCAAATAAATATTCATAACCATTCCAGTCTCAAATGCTCTTGAATCAATGAAAATAGCAACGAAAAATGAAAAAAATGTTCGAGATTCTCTAAATTATCCCATTTCGTACATAATATTTCGTATAGTTGGCACAGCCATACAATGGACCTCGAATTTCATGTGGAATGATTGTATACGAAATATTTTTTTCTTTCTATTTCAATATGTATCTTTTATAAGTGTAACTATTTTGTGCCCGAGTCGCATCAAAGATGCTAATAATTGTTTCAGCTGAAAATAGAAATCCCTTAGAAGGCGATTTAGATGAATCCGTTCGAACCAATTTCAAAAGTGTTTATTCGTGTAGATGTTGACTTGTTCGGTAAGGAAGAGCAGCGGGCGCGCACAGCGGCAGCCATAGCCACAGCAAAAACAAAGCAAACGTAATTCAAACGAATCGACAGAGCGAGAGAGAGAGAGAGAGAGAGAGAGAGAGAAAAGGCGGTGAAAATCGTTGTGTTTTGGGCTATATGTTTGCATGCTCAGACAGTGTCGAGGAGTTTATTCACGTCGCCGTTGATTTGTTGCTGTTTACTCTGTGATTGTTCTGCTATTTTTTCCCGTGTTGTTTTATTCATTTTTCGCGGCTTTTCTTTGTATGTTTCATCAGTGTTTTTGATTTGCACGTCGAGAATGTGATTAAAAATACTTTCGTCAATGCACGTAATTCGCTGCATGCATTGTTTTTTCCCATTTCGGTAAACATTCCCTGATTTTGACAATTGAGTGCTCTGTTGTCTCGTTGTCAGTGCTATTTTACGTTCGATTATGGTTCGCCGTTCGAGGATTGCACGTAACTGCATAATTTATGAATTGGCTCTACAAAGTGACGAACCATAATAGACGGTGTTCATGATTTCTCTCTCTCTCTCTCTCTCTCTCTCTCTCTCTCTCTCTCTCTCTCTCTCTCTCTCTCTCTCTCTGCGTGTGTGTGTGTGTGTGTGTGTATCCGTGCTATTTGTGTGATGATGTTTGATAATGCAGAACCAATCTCTTTGCTTTTTCATACTCAGCATTTCATTTCTATTCCTTCGCACCAAAATTCCACTCAGACATATCCTATCTTTTTATTACCTATAAAATACTTTTCCTCGCAATTTTAATTGAAATAAAAAAAATTACAATGAAACGCACACATCAAAACAGCAGCAGAAAGTGTCGGTTTTTTTTGTAAATTATATGTATTTTTTTGTTTTCAATAAAATTACAAAAGACCATAATTATATAAACAGAGAGAATGAGAGAGAAAAAGTGAAAGAGAAAGAAAAAAAGATGATCGAGACTTTCTTTTGGCTGACTTTTGTGTTGATTGGACAATTGTAGCACTGTTTTACATGAATATTGTTATTATTTTCGTATTGATGTTGTTTTTCTTGGAAAACGATGACTGGTGAGTCCTTGGATCGTTAAAAAAAGAGAGTTTATTATGCGTATATATTATAATGACTGTATAATATGATGATTGTTGTTGTCAGAAGTAAACGACTTTTGAAATGAAAAAGCTGCGTTGCACGAATTAATGAAGTGTTACATCTAGAAGCATTTGCGGTGAACAATGCCTGGTCCGCTTTCATCGTATTCAGCCTTCGAGATCCACATGGTTTGGAAGGTAGACAATGAAGCCAAAATTGAACCACCAATCCATACGGAGTATTTACGTTCGGGTGGTGCAATAATCTTGATCTTAATAGTTGATGGTGCCAATGCGGTGATTTCCTTTTGCATACGATCAGCAATACCTGTGAAACGAAATCGAATCCCGAAAAAAATTATCAATCAATCGATCCGTTTCAATCAAAGTCTCATTTTCATTTACCTGGATACATGGTGGTACCGCCTGAGAGTACAGTGTTGGCATACAAGTCCTTTCGGATGTCAACATCGCACTTCATGATTGAATTGTAAACGGTTTCGTGAATACCAGCCGATTCCATACCCAAGAATGATGGTTGGAACAAGGCTTCTGGGCAACGGAAACGTTCATTACCAATGGTGATGACTTGACCATCTGGCAATTCATATGATTTTTCAAGCGATGACGATGCGGCTGCTGTTCCCATTTCTTGTTCAAAGTCCAATGCAACGTAGCACAATTTTTCCTTTACATCGCGCACAATTTCCCGTTCGGCTGTGGTGGTGAATGAGTAGCCACGTTCGGTGAGGATTTTCATGCAGAATTCGGTTAAATCACGACCGGCCAAATCCAAACGCAAAATAGCATGTGGCAATGCGTAACCTTCGTAAATTGGGACAGTGTGTGATACACCGTCACCAGAGTCTAAGACAATACCAGTTGTACGACCGGAAGCATACAATGACAAAACGGCTTGGATGGCAACATAAACAGCTGGTGAATTGAAGGTTTCAAACATGATTTGAGTCATCTTTTCACGATTGGCCTTTGGATTTAATGGAGCTTCGGTCAAGAGTACTGGATGCTCTTCGGGCGCTACACGCAATTCATTGTAGAATGTATGATGCCAGATCTTCTCCATATCATCCCAGTTAGTGATGATACCGTGCTCAATTGGGTATTTCAATGTAAGGATACCACGTTTGCTTTGGGCTTCATCACCGACATAGCAATCCTTTTGGCCCATGCCGACCATCACACCCTGATGACGTGGTCGGCCAACGATCGATGGGAACACGGCACGTGGTGCATCATCACCAGCGAATCCGGCCTTGCACATTCCCGATCCGTTGTCAATAACTAAGGCTCCTGCATCATCATCACACATTTTGACTGATTTTTAGCTTTTTTACTCTTGTGAACCTATTTTTTTATGAAAAAAAAAATATTTCAATTATTTGTCGCTTTATATTTGCTTTTGGTAACAACAGAAAGTAAATTTCAAACTTTGCAAGTATACTGTGAATCGAAAATCGAACTGTTTCGAAATTCGAACTGCTTTGAGCTTAATTAATGAAATATTTCGGAAAAAATCGTTGCACACGTCATTTCTCTTTTCGAAATCGCTTTCATCAGAGCACAAAATTTTAGAAAATACATTTTCTACTACATTCACGATTTCGTTGGTTACTATGTGAGTTCGAATTAAAAAATTTAGTGTTCATTTAAATTTTTTCTGTAATTTTGATTTTTTCTAAAGAGCAGCTCAGAAAAGTCCCTTTTAAAAAAACGTTCAAACTTTTTTTTTCGATGGAATTGATATGAGTCTATAATTGTATGACATTTTTCCAAAAAATATCACGATTTTTATTTTTTTCACTGATCTAAAATTAAAATCAAAATTATTCCATGCTATTGAAGCTCAAAAAACTGAGACACGTCACTTGTAACAAGGGCTAGTAGATTTTGGATTCAGTTTCAATTATCCAGGATCAGTGTCATTATTTTATAATTGGAAATTTTCACTTTAATCCATATCGGGAAACTTCAAATAGTCCAAATCGAAGTCACAGTAATCGTTGCACAATTTGAATTTATTTTGCTCTGAATTTCCTGAAAAAACGAATCCCGTCGATTCCAATACGTTCTTAATGTCTAATGAAAAAAAAATAATACCTCAAATGAAAAAAAGGAGAAGAAGAAAAAGCAAAAAGTGCTTTTGTATTTTATGATCCACTGGCGTGCTACCTGCGACACTTAACGACCACAGAGTGAACCAATACGTAATTGATCATTGTCTTTTATACGCTAATCAATCGATGCGACGGAAAATCGAACGCTTTATTTGTATCTGGAAATAGAAACGATCCTTAGATGGTGCGAATCAAGTGAGCGCCATCTAAATTGTCAATGTATTTGTTATAAATTCGCCATCCAATCGGGAATCGATCGTTTAATTTGTCATTGAATGTCGTCGATATGTATGTGCTATTATAGGGAAGAGAAAAAAGGTGTGATAATTTTTGTTGCACCAATACCAATTATTTTCGATTTTTCTTTCTTTTCTCAAGTGTAATGCCAATGATTGATCATTGAGTTTCAAAATGCTGTGTGTTAGCCACATTGGATTGAATGCATTGCGCGTGATTCAAAGTACCTAAATAAAAAGAAATTGTTGGCATTGTGCACTACAATGGCAGTATTTCTATGCATTAAAGTGGAATAATGTGGTTTTGCAGCTCATCTGCTTGCTGTTTGAACACACTCAATTAATTCGATTTGGTTAGCAATCGAACTGAATTCGTTCTGGCCAAATTGATTACGACTGTGTAACCGTTATGACAAAGTCAACAGCGTAGCATGCATTCGCGTTTGTAAATTTATGAGTAGTTTTGCAACGATATGCGATGAATTTATGTGTTGGCTATTTTTGTCTGCATTTCGTCTAAAAAAAACCCATGCAATGCACACAATGAACATTTTGGTTAAATTTCATTGTATTCGATGGCACGCTACGTCAATTGATTATACGCTCATGGCAATATCCGATTTTGGTCGTGTCATATCCCAACGGATTTCGAATTGTGCGGTTTTTTGTGTGTGCTTCTCCTATTCCACTGTTTACCAATTTTCAATTGCGCAGCACACACGCATCATGCATCGTTTCGGAATTCGATTCGCACACCAAAAAATGCACTTTGAATTCCGTTACATTTCCCAATTTGGCTATAGCCATGGGGATCAAGTGCAACTGATACGTTTGCCAAAAATTAACAAGCACAAGCACTCATTTGAAATTCCGTATCGAAAGAGTAAACAGTGTTTGCTAAACACTTCATTGAATGAGTGCGCATTGATGTATCATCAACATTTTGAGATTAATACGTATTCTTGATTTTCCGAAAATAACAATTCTGATTAATTGGAACGGCATTTATTTTGGTTTTGGTTGTGTGATTGATTGGCTTGGATAGATACGCCGTTTGGACCAGCCATTCAACAGAATCGAACCCTTTTTTAGAGTCAATGAGTCGTCGCAAATACTCATTCCGTTATCTTATTCATTGCAGAGCATTTTAATGATTCAATACATCACACCATTAAATAATAAAGCACATTCAAATCCATAGAGAATACTCGGATACTATCTTCTCATGGTAATTTAGAAAGGAAGAGTTTATGAAAAATCCCATGAGAAGAAACTTTTCCGCTACTGTTTTTTTTTCTACCAAAACTATCGCCTCCGTTCTCGATTTCACTTGCATTCAATACGAACAAGCAAAGATGCTTAGCTGGTTCAAATGTGAAGGAAACTTGTTGTCGCTTTTGATCGCGAGTGGACGGGAGAAACGGGCGGTGAGTGAAAGAGTAAAAAATCATCGAATATATCATATTTCAAAAACGCTCGAGGTGGCTGCAAATTGTTCACACATTTGTGGTGTTTCTTTTTTTGCTGTTCATCCTTTGCTCTCTCTCTGTCTCTCTCTCTCTCTCTTCATGCTTTTTTCTTTGTGGTTTCGGGCATGAAAAAAGCCACATAAATTATGCATTCCCAGTGTCATAAGTGAAAAACAGTTTGGCATACGGCTTTTTAAGTGAATAATTATTCATTTTCATAAGCGCGTACGCGATTAATTTGCTAATTTTCGTTAAATTGTTTTGGTTGACATGAGTGCAAACATGCCCACCCATATACGAACAGCAGCAGCAACACAGCAGTACGATATAGCAAAGACCCCCCGAGCCACAAACACATCATTTTCATCTTGCATTTCATACACGACCACGTATAACAGCGTGAGAATTTGCATATTTTCATAATATATAGATCGTCGAATGAATGAGCAAGTGTAGCGATAGTAGCTAGAAATGAATGAGAACATGTCATCCGAAATCTATTTAGTCTGACAATTTGCATTTTGGCTGTAATGTGGCAACATCTTCTATCGTTCGTTCATTCGTTCCGCATTTTAATTGAATAAAATTCGGCATTTATTCCCGAAACAGGCCCCGTTAATTACATTGAATTGATTGTAAAATTCCTGTCTGTCATATATATTATCTCATTTTGTTGTCCGAGGGTGTTCAAGTGTCGAATAAACAAAAACAGCAAAACAATATAGCATTTTAGCATTCGCGGCACGCCACCCAAACATACATACACACACATACACACACACACAATATGCACGACATGATGATGACACATAAATTGAGGCATTTTACAATGGCAAAATAAATAGAATCAGCTTTGTGCAAATCATTTGAAAATTATTGCTCTGATTACTTTACTAATCTGTCAGATTTGAGACGATTTTTCTCGATCTCAATGCAATTACAACGTTTCGAGAGAGTGAGAGAGATAGAGTATGTTGGCGCGTTTGAAATTGTCGCACACCACGACCAAACGCTGTTTTGTTTTTCTATTGTTGTTGCTTTTATTTGTGCAAACATTTTCGACGACTGTGCCTCTTATAATGACTATGAATAGAGCGAATGGGATTAGATGCTGCACTATCGAATTTCAGCTTGTAATTTTAGTTGGGCCAAACCATTTTTAGCAAATGTAATGCGGTAACAGCTGAAACAATGTCAATTTTTGCATTAGAATCAGTGTGTGAATGCGATGAACGGGCAACGCAATGATGCAAAATGTTTTCGCTTTTTGAGCGTATGTGAGTGTATGTCGGTATCGTGTCCGAGACCAAATTCAATTGTCTATCACACGAATTTCAATCTGTTCACACATGTGCGGCCGTCATCGTCAACAAACAGCAGCAGCTTCGTCAGCTTCGTTCTCAAAGTGGATTGAAGAGCCGTTTCGTTTTCTTTTCTTCTCAACTGTATGCCATCCGAGTCATTATTATTAAATCAAAAATTTACAGCGAGGATTTTGTTTGCTTTGGTTTTTATTTAATTGGATCGTTTATGTTAACAGACAAATTGTGATTAAAACAAATTTCAAGTGAAGCTGTGTACGCGATTTTCAAATCAAAATCCCCATGACGACGACAACGAAGAAAATATCAACAGTGGATGTGGCATTTTGTCTCTTAAAATCGCGCACAAACATAACTTTTTACGAGAATGTTCTCTGTTTTCTTTACCTTCTTTACTTGGAACCATTCTACCAAATCGCGCTATTTCAGTAGATTTTGCACATAAAGAAAATCAACTGAAGTGTGTGCACTTACTCAAAAATAAAATTTGCAATAAAAAAAAAACAACAAGCGGCAGACAAATTTAATTTGCACCACATTCAAATAAAAAAGGATTAAAAATTTTATGACAAAAATAAAATAAAGAAGAACAGATAAGCATGTTTATATGGTAAATTTTTGTTTATTTATTTCATTATCAACTAGAATTCATTGGTTTTTTGTCTGCCAATTTCATTGTGTCAACTGTTTGCGTATTTCAAACAGAAGAATAGCCGTGGCTACACTAGCATTAAGACTTTCAATACCGTTGCCCAACGGAATTTCAACGACAGCATTATCCGGTCTAACTTCTTCGATTTTCGTGTGATTCTCATTGTTTTGCTCTGCATCCGCTTGGCTTGTGTGGTCGGTGGCAAATTTCATAAAATCAAATGCATGACTACTAACTCCCTCTGTTTCGCCGCCAATAACTAATGCGATGTGCTTACAATTGGAAAACGGAATATCGCTATACACTTTCGGTTTGATGAATTTTATGTTATTCTGTTTGCGTTTCTGATCGAATTCATCGTATGGTAATTTTGTGTCATTGATTTGGGTTTGATTGTCGGCAACGAAAACCGACACATCACGAATATCCGGTAAATGTTCGGTTAAATCCTCCCATTCAATGGGACCAACGATTGGTACACGAAATTGTGCACCGCATCCACCGCGCAAAGTTTTCACATCCCATGGATCGGCACAACCTTTGAGTAGTACAATTTTTGTGCATGGAACCGCCGCACACGTTCGAATAATACTACCCAAATTGTTTGGTTCACGTACTTGATCGCAAATCACCGTTATTGGTACCCCATCAAATGTGTTACTTTGAATTGTAACTTGTATTTCATCGCTGTCTACGTGTGTATCGGCTGGAATATTGGCATTTTCTTTTGCTTTCAATTCGGCTTTTCGAACATTATCCCAAATGGTTTGCATATCGTACGGGCGTTGGAAAATGGCAATCAATCCCGGGCATGTTGTTAATGTTGACCATGTTGACAGATCATTGTGTGGCACACGAATGATTTCCGTTTGTTTGATAAACGCTTTCTCTAGGCTATCTCGAATCGTTTCCACTTGCTTAACATTGCTGAATAATAAATAGCGAATCTTCAAACCGGCTTCGATTGCTTCGAGTGTTAGGCGTCTCCCTTCGACCAATAGCAATTTTTTATTATCACGATATTTGCGTGATTTCAACATAAGCATCAATTTCGGAAATTCCGGATGATCAAATGGCAGTTTGATGTAAGTTAAATTCAGACCAAGGTCATGGTATTTCAATTGCTCGAATGATCTTTCTTTCTTTTCATTTGGTAACTTCTCTTTTGGCTTACCAACTGGTTTTGCGTGTTGACTCTTTGGTTTCTTAACTTTGGCCGCTTTGATCGTTTGCTTCGGTTCAATGTCTGTAGATTTGGCCGTTCCACCCAGGTCAAAGAGTAAATCAGTGCTGTCTTCTTCTGCTTGTTTAACAACGTTCAGCACCGGTGACTGGCTCAATAAACGAACAAACTGTGGTTTACTATTCACGAATAGCCGTTGTTTATGTACGTACGGCGATAGAACGGAAAAACTACGTGTTATACAACCCAACATTTTGATCAAACACTTTGATGAAAAAACACAAAATCCTTCGAAAATCAGCTCTGGAATTTGTTAATGTTTTGATATTGTGAAATACGGTTAGCTTAGTGTGGTTGTCACATGGAAACATTTCCTAAAATATACATGCTTGTCATTTGTGACATTTCAAACAATGGGCACGTTCAATGCTCACCTGTCAAGCGTACAAAAATTCAAATTGGATTTACGTTACACCACGTACAAATGGATTCGAACGTCTGAACACCAACATTTGAAAATGATTCAAGGAACTTCTTGCCAATCGAATGGTTTGCAATTTCGCGTAATAAACGGTAATTATGTATATTTAATCACTCCCATCGAATGTTTAAAATAAGGCAATGAAATCAAATGAAGAGGAAGGTGGTGGCAAAAATTGGTGTAGTATTTACAAGTTTTTACTTCCATTCGCACTATAAATAAATTTTTGGACGCGTGATGAAAAACGTAAGATTCCCATTAAACACCGATATTTATGGTGTTGGGGCATCGTGCTTCGTTTTTTGCATATTTTTTCTAATTCGTTAATTCGTTTGGAATGAGTCGTCATCGTCATCGTTGTTTAAGCCAAATAGAGAGGCAAACGGTTATTCTTTTTTGTTGGTTTCTAAATGGAGAATGCAAAATTGTGATGAAGTAAAATGAGGCGCTCGAATAGTTATGATATTTAAGCAAAAGACCTTGCCCATTGCCTAGCGCACCGATAAATGTGTGTATTTTTTTGTTGTTTCTTTTTCTCTTTCTCTCAAAATGTCATCTATTTATAAATGGCCATAATTCGCCTTATGGCCGTAAATTCATTTGAAAAAGATCAACAGAATAGAGAGAGAGAGAGAGAGAGAGAGAGAGAGAGAGAGAGAGAGAGAGAGTGGGAAAAGCCGCAGCAGCAGCAATAACAAATAGCCAGCTATTGTGTGTGGTGTATAATTTTGTAGAAAGAAAAACAACAAACGAGGCAAATTTATAAACAGCACATTATGCATGCGTACTCCTATTGCGAACACTAAATGTCATCTGCATAATTCGATTGTATGCGAACAAACAAACTAACGTCCAACCAACCATATACGGACAGTATAATTATAATGAACGATTTTTTTTTTATTTCTTTCGTGTATAAGTTTGAAAACTGCAAACACACGTTCTCCTTCTTTCTCCCACTTATAACAATGTATGCGATTGCCATTGGGATGTGTCTCGCGCTCCGCGATTCAACAACAACCATTGATTAGAATCAAAAAACACCATTTTTAAGAATTGGTGTTTATTTTCAGTCAGTTGATATCGATTCAAGAAAAGTAGAGAAAACAAAAGAAAAACGATGGACTATGTATGACGCATAACATGGCCAGATCAGTTGTGTCCAATTGAAAAACAACATATATACACATTGTAAACATTCTATTTCAAAGAAGAAGAAAAATACACATTGCTTACATGATCATATACATACATACAACGCGAGGCATTCTTTCTACAGTCTTTTTTTCCACTGCCTTTCATTCTATCTCTCTCTCCGATACCGAAACCCGGAGAAAGAGAGATAATTGAATCAGAATTATGGGCAAACCGTTGTCGTCGTCGACATCGACGTCGTTGCTGTTTTGTAGTTGGTGTTGCGTTCCGCCTGATTGTAGTCGTGTGTGACCGAAAACAGTTGTAACAAATACTATATGCGAATGAGAGGTATGTTCAATATCATGTAAGCAAAATGTAAGTGTGTATGCGATGATCGGAGGGTCTCTATCGCGCGCGTGTATGTATGTGGTGACCCAACACACAAAATATACACACAACATGTTGAAACGTTAGTCAAAATAAATTAATGGATTTAGTTTAAAGCTCATTTTTAGGAACAGTTGACGCAGTTTTGTCCATTCTCGTTGCGATCAGTTTGCCTTTTTTTCTTCGTCTCTGCTTTTTCTTTGGGATTGCAACGTATTCTTTTTTTTCCCCCGAATTTTGTATGCGATTAAATCATTCTGATCTATGGTGAATGGTTCTATTTTCAATGGACAACATACGTGAGATTGATATGAATAAAGTGTAAACGTGACCAACGTCAAGAAAGTCCGTTAAAAATTGTGCAGTTTCAAATAAGTCAAGTGTTGACATAAGTGGCGATAGTGCAAAATTCCCGGTAATTTGAAATGAAAAACGAACGTTTGAACGAAAATGATCAATTTTGATTGAAAGTCAAATGTGTTTGAAATGATGATTGAATTTTGGTCGAAATCGTTTTCTTCTTTGGTTAATACTTTCGAAAATCCGGAGAAAATTGTGATGATATTCGAAGTTAGATGTCATGTGTTGATTCTTGATTCGTACATTGACCTACTCGACGTACGCTTAAAAGAAAAGCCATTTTCGTTCGGAACTTATTCTATGGTAGAATGTCAGTTGAATGTTCAGTCGATTAAGTTTGCATCATTTACGATGTTCAAACGAATAAAAACTAGTAAACAACTTCGAAAATCGAAGGAAAAAAAACACGCACGACACACAACATACCCAAGCAAAAATTCACATTGAATTGACGTTGCGTTAACGCATATCTGACACTGTTCCCACACGGTTTTGAACATCAAGCCGTTTGACATCATTTTTGATTTCAAATAACCGTGTGGATGCAGTGTAAGTTTGTTCGGGTATCAAGAGTCGACACCAAAAATGGTTTCAAAATTCGCCATGATAACGCAACGGTCATACACTTCGGCGACATAGTTTTAAATGTAAAACAGTTCGGCGGACTTCCACACTGTCCAATACAAACATAAACTGCATTGACGTTCAAAACCGTGTGAGAACAGTGTCAGATATGTGTTAACGCAACGTCGATTCAGTGTGAATTTTTGCTTGGGATAACGTCATTCGTTGTCGTGAAACCAAACCAAACGCCAATAAATTATTTATTATTGGTATATATATATATATATATATATATATATAGCCAAAGACAATATGCTTTTTTAACATGCTCAAGGTAAACTCATTGAATGAAGTTTAAACGCTCACGCAGAAGGTGTACACCACCAGATCCTCTATAGTCTAGATTGGTTTGTTGATGGCAAATGTGAAGGCATTTAGCACAAACATCGTTTGTGTTTTTCGACGATTGATGACAACATCCTCACGCAAATGTGCTCACTGATGACTGGCTGATTGACTGGCATGTGTGTGTGTGTGTGTGTGCATGTGTGACAACTTAATGTTGATTGCATGCAGATTCCAAATGGCAATGCACTGATTCAATCAGTTGATATTTGAAAAATCAACCAAATGTTACGAACGATGCACTTTCGGTCGATCGGCGTGCTCAAATGAAAGTACAATGCAAATTTCGAAGGCTGATGTACAAATTATAGAGCAGCAAATCATAAAACCATAGCCGTTCTATTCACAATTTATATTTATATGGTGATTGTGTATATGACTCAGAACAAATATCCATCACAATTCATTCGTATATTGAATTATTGCACATATATCATAATTACTCATTTATTGCGAAAACAGTTGTCATAAATCGTCATTTGTGTACACTTAGGGCGAACAAGTGAACGAACGAACAAGCGAACGAGCGAACAAATGAATGCATGCAAAACATAGTTCTTTACTAATGATGAACCATGTTTTGGTTGTACACCGATTTTATCGTCGCTCATCGGCACAACGACTAACTCTTCAACATTGTCGAGAGATTGAGACACGACGAGCGATGTATGTTTTTCAGCCAGTCAGTCAGTCAGGCAGGCGCATATTCTGTACATATAATGAGCGGATTTTGAATTATGACCGAAAGAAGGGAAGCAAAAAAAAATAGATGGATAATCAGACAGAAAAACATGTACACTCTGCTTTATCTCTGAAAATACCATGTGAATTTAATTGAGATCGGTTCGGGCGCGCAATACACATTGCACACCATTCTGCTGGTCTTGCCAAAAAAAAAGTTTGAATGGAGAAAATTGATTTACTGCCTTCATATTCAAACTGTTGGACAAAACATACGAATGGAAAATTCTAAAATGCACATTCACACGCTCAGAGCTATAGTAAACGTGCCTATACGGTAACATCATTATCATCCGTCATGTGTACACTACACATAATCATTTTTTGCTGTTATTGTTGCTTGTTATTCGTTCGGTTTTGGTTTTGGTTCGGAGAGTATCGTGTGTGTGTTTGTTTAGCACCAAAATATACCGTAATCGTGTTCTCCATTTCGATGGAATTGGAAATTGATGAGGTAATGTCAGTGTGGTACACTCTGCCGAGTGTATGATGTGTACGTGCGATGCGATGCGGTGTCGATGTATGCGGTATACGTTTGTGTTTTTTATGTGTATGTGTGCGAGCGAGTGTTGGTTCGAATATATATCGAATATCTGTTTCGTCTATACGGTCGAAGACTAAGACGATTGTCTATGTACAGTGTGCTTTGGTGTGCGTGCGCGTATGTATGTATCTGTTTTGCTTACTTGAAAACTTTTCTATGGCGCATGAGTTTTTGTTGTTGTTGCTGCTGCTTGGTACATTTAAAATACTGAAAGAACGAAGCCGTAATGGGAAGGAAAACAACAAACTGAACGGAGGATACGAAGCAACATTTCATGCTCGAAGAAGAGCAAAGATTTGAGAAAATAAATAAATAGATTCGAAGAATAGAATCGTTTGTGTGTGTGTTTTTTTTTCTTCTTCGCTGTGTGATCTGGATGAATGTTGTGTCAAATTTTGATGTTTACCATAAATGTGTGAGCCTATTTCTACACATCAGATAAAATAAAAATGTTGAGTGTGCATCGCAATCTGCTTCGAAACATGCCGAAAGTCAATGTGCATGCATTTTGATTACGGGAATAGTTGACGGAGAATCGGAGAAAAATCATCAAAAATCCAAAGTGTGTGCAATGACAAGTGTGAATCATTTTCGTTTGGTCATGTTTATGCGAGACTTGCATATATTGAGACTTGTTGAGTGAGAGAACGATATAGAGAAATCTTGTGGTGATTGAAAATCAAATTATTGGATGTGTGCAACTGCAGTGTGTCAAATAGACATTTATCTATCCCATAAAAACGGGCCCAAATATTGGTTCGCATTTTTGTTTACAACAAATAAGACGAAAGAAAATGCGAATCACAGAAATGATGTCACACCAAAAGAAAAAAGATTCAATTTATTGAACTGCACACGAACAAGGCCGCAATCACTGACAACACACCAATTAGAATCGAAAAATTTATGCCTGGTGGAAAGAGAGAGAGAGAGAGTGTGTTTGTGAGAGTGAGAGAGAGAGAAGAAAAAGGTGGTGTGTGGCAACTAAAAATGCAAAACAATCAGTTGGAAATGTCAAAGAGCGTAATTACGTTATGTTGATTTTTATTTTTATCCATACACGTATGCAGGAAAAATAAAACAGACAGAAACAACAACAGCACACATGGAAATTACAAAAAAAATGTCAGGTTGAGCAGCGCAAGAAGATAGCGCCCAGAACCTTTTGAATTAGACAATTGATGACGAAATCGAGGCTATTGTGTAAATCAACACACAGCCGAGGAATTTAGGATGTGATCCATATGATTTTATTTTCATTCAATTGCATTGAATTTGGAAAACGAATGTTGAACTCCGTTTGGCCGAATGAGACAATGTTCATATTGGTCAATGATATTGACAATAGTAAATAGGGGAAAAAGAGAGCAATTAAACAAGCGGCGCTCATCAATACGGATGCATGAAGAACGATAAAAAAAGCAGAAAAGTATCGGCAAATATGTGCGTTGAATCAGAGATAGAGAGAAATAGCGCGCGCGAGAAAAAAAGATATCATTCGTACATACATTGTTACTTTTTGCGTAAAATCTGTTCGTGTTTGTGCATTCGGTTTGATTTTTTCTTCGTCAGACTCTTAACGTGTATTAAACGAGCGTATTTGACTTTGGTGCCCACGGTGCATTTTAAAGAATATACTTTTCAATCATTTCGGTCTTTCTTCTTCTTCTTCTTCTTCTTCGTGTTGCTGTTATGTGCCGTAGGCATTTTTAGTTTTCTCGCATCATAGTCGTCGTCGTGTGTATGTTTTTGTTATTTAGTAGTGCAATTTTGTGTTGTACCTACCTCATTCTAGTTACCTCATTAAAACTTGTTTACCATTATTGATCCACATTTGAGTTGGACGTACGTACCGATGGTTGTGTGTTTGTAGTGTGTGATCGGTGTGTTTTTGGTGCTGATGTGTTACAGTGGTGGCGGCAGCGGCCGCCGTTGCCGCCACCACCACCACCATCATCACGCTGCTGCTAATGTTGCTAAATGCATAATTTGCGTGCAGTACACACGCAATATCTTGCTCGCAACATCATTTTGTTATGCGGCATTTGCATTTGGCAAATTGCAAATTTGCTTCTTTTCTTATAATTAGTTGGTATCTTTGCTGTTTGCAAAGTGCCGCTATTTTCCCTTTGAAAGATCATTACGCTCTTGCACAATTTCTTTTGCTTGAATGCACATCAGCCACATTGTACATCGCAGTGCTGTCTATCTCAGCTGGTATTGTTTGCCAAAGGAAATATAGCCACACACGACCTTCGATCATATTTATTCAAGTCATTGACTGTATTTGAGAATCAGATTGAAACCGAACCATTTTTATTTTTCTTGTTCTGTTTCTGTGTGAATTTTTTTTAAATTTCTATTTAAAACACAGCACAATTCAACTAATTTGTTCTTTTTTCTTGCAGCAAAAAAATTGCTCGAGAGTGAGGTGTCGGTTTTAAATTGACGGTTCACACTGAACAAAATCCGCTTCCACACACACACAGTTGCATCCGGATGAAGTGACTGAAGAGAATATTTTGTACGAGTTTAAATTGAATTTATGCGGCGCAGATTTATCATTATTATATAAAAATGGATCACACAAATCAAATTGAATCTGCATCTGAATTTATTCCAAGTGAGTGCAAATCAATCTTCTTTTTATTTGATCACAACGAAATCAATTTTATACCAAATTTACTAATTATTACATCATTTTTTGCTTTGTCCATCCACACACTCTCTCCTTCTGCATCTGTCCGCTCGATTCATTTCGAACGATGTAGATCGACTGTATTTGGTTGTATTTAAAACGGAATTGATTCCATTGAACACGAGTGCAATTCATTATTTTTCTATTGATGATGAGCTGGTGTATGAGAGTTTTTTCAACGATTTTGGACCTCTGAATTTGTGTATGCTGTATCGTTATTGTCAGAAATTGAATCGAAAATTGGCGACCAATTTACACTCGAAAAAGAAAATTGTCCACTACACAACGATCGATCTGCAGAAGCATTTGAATTCGGCATTTTTAATCGGAGCTTATTCGGTAAGTTGTCAATGCCATTTATTGGATGGCATTTTTCGTTGTTGACCTGATTTTCCACCGTTCCAAAATGGTGGCCGTTTTCGACCATTATGACAATTGCAATGGCATACCGGTCCGGTGGAAACGAGGTTGGACCGAAAAAAAAAGACACAACGAAAGAACACAGCATTTTCTTATTCACGATTGTTGCCGCTGTTCTTTCCTTTCAGATAATCAATTTGAATCGAACACCCGAAGAAGCGTACGAAACATTGAATAATGGGCCACCATATATCCAGTTTTGCGATGCATCATGCGGCTCGTCCAACTACACTATTAGCCTAATGGATTGCTTGCAAGCGATTTACAAGGCTCGTAATGCTGGTTTCTTTGATTTTAATGACTTTGACGCCGAAGAATATGAGTATTATGAGCGAGTCGAATATGGTGACCTGAATTGGATTGTGCCGAATAAGTTTGTTGCATTTTGTGGTCCGCACAATCGTTCCAAAATCGATAATGGATACCCATGCCATGCACCGGAAACATACTTTAATTATTTTCGACAGAATAATGTCAGCACAATTATTCGGCTCAATTTGAAATTGTACAATGCGTCACGGTTTTCCAATGCCGGTTTTGATCATAAAGAGCTTTTCTTCACGGACGGCAGCAAACCGACCGATTTAATTCTGAAGAATTTCCTACAAATCTGCGAAGAAGCCAAAGGTGCTATTGCCGTTCATTGCAAAGGTGAGTGTGCACTGTGTATGCGTGTATGAGCTGTATGAGTGGGTGGTAGAAATGGATTAGAGTAAATGATGATCGATTGATGACGTACCGCCGTCACTTTCGATTCAATCATTTTTCGGAAGTGATGCATAAATTCAATTGATAGCTGTGTAAATTAACACGAACATTTTTCCTATCTCCCTTTCTCTCTCTCTCTCTCTCTCTCTCTCTCTCGTTTCCATTCCACACATTTGAAACGCCGATTATTGGAAATAGCTGGCCTCGGACGAACTGGCAGCTTAATTGGTGCCTACATTATGAAACATTATCGTTTCACTGCACTCGAAACCATTGCTTGGTTGCGACTGTGCCGACCCGGCAGTGTGATCGGACACCAACAACAGTGGCTAGAGGAGTAAGTGACTTGTAAAAATCATAGTAAAAAAGAAGCGCTTCGTTGTGCCAAAACGGATTATTCTAACACATTCAACATTTCATACATGTGGTTCAAATCTATTTTTCCGATTAATTTTTGTTTCTCTGTTGCTTTCATTGTGCAGCAAGCAGAATCAATTGTGGGCAGAAGGTGTCGAATTCTATAAGGGGAAACCATTTGGTAAAGCTGAACCGCACATATACGGCATTTACAGTATTAAACAGCGTGAACTAAAGTCGACGAATGGCAACGGTCTTCAGATCAACACCACTACTACCATCACCACCAAAGGTAATTTGGCGCGCATCACGAATAAAGAAATTGCTTCACAAAATGCCATCGAATATTTTCGCATCATTTTTCACATGATATAATCAATTTTGGATTTATGTTCAATGTAGAAAATGCAAACGGACAAACGACAAAGCTGAGAGATCGAGTGCAGAATATCTCCCAAAAAGTGGACACCATGAAACTAAACGATTCGAATGGGACAACCAAAGTGACGGCTATTTTGACTCGCGATTTTCCACATCGTGACGAGAATAAAAATACGACAACAATGATGGCAACGACAACGGTGAGCGGTGTTGGTGTGTCGACGAGACGAAAAGTAGCTACTACCGCAGCGGATATCGATAACAATAACGATAATTTTGATAAGACTGCCGCGAATCCGACCCAAGGTGATACATTGAATAAAATAAAAGCCATGCGTCGACGACACACACGATTGTCAACCAACATCTCACCCGTTGCCGGATTGTAAGTACTTCATGAATATCAAAGCGAACCCCAACACCATCTCCACACAATCAAAGTTATGGTTTTTTTTTTGTGCCAAGTTTCCGAACAATCCTCCTTCTCCTTCATCTGCTCCTTCTCCTTCTCCTTCTCCTCCTGGTGACGTTTGACCACCAACTTTCACGAAATGTTGCATTTCAATGTTGTTTCGTGTGCTCAGAATATTCGTTTGACCTTAATCTTGACACTTATTATGTATGCGTTGTGATTGTTTTGGATAAGGCCATGCTGAAATATGTTGTTAGCACGGAATTTTATTAGCGCGCACTCTCTTAAATCTTGCATTTAATAACATTTATTTTAAACATTTCAAATTCGAAACAACAAAAGGAAAAATGAAACATCGACTGCAACATCGGTGCATCAGTCACATCACGTGCGAGCACGGTCTCAACCATTTCGTTCGCGTTCCAATCTGGCTGCGACCACATCAAACACGAATGCCGTTACATCACCGTCGTCAACACTCAGACCAGTCACTCTAACCATGCAAAATCGGAGGTGGGTCAATTGAATTTCTAAACACCGAATATGGTCCTTTTTTTTCTTCTTCTTCTTGTACACTTAACGCTTTTTTTGAATGTATTTTGAACAACAACACATACAACACACACACACACACATACACCAAAATGAAGAACAGTCACAATTTTCCGTTGTACAAAAAGTTTTTAAAACAAAACTTATATTCAGTGGGAGGGAAAGTGTGCACGGAATTTCAAAATCAATTTATTTGAATGCCTCAATCAACCAATATGTATTTTTTTTTTCAAAAATTGATCGGTTGAAATTAATTTACACATATTTCGAACATTTTTGAATTTTTCATCATTGTTAACATTCGAATTGACTTTTACCGTCGAAATATAATAACAACCCGTGTGTAATTTGTTATACAAAAATCCGTTCAGAAAACATGTTTCATCACCATAAAATGGTACCAATCATGATTATTGTTGAATAATATGTTTCTTGACGTTCGATTTTTTTTTTTCGAGAAAATGTACAACCTCGATACATTAACCATAACATAAACGTCGGAAAAATGCCGAAGAATTTTGAAATTTTTTTGATGAATTTTAAGTCGTCGGTGATAAGATGTTTTAGACAAATTTATATATTTTTTCTGTGTGTAGGCCGTAGTAATGACATAAACATTTACTTTTTCTGTTTGTTTTTTTTCTTCTTTCAATTGTTGTTGTTGATAATATATATGAAAAGGAATATTTATAAACACTTGTTAAAATATGGTAGCTATAAAAAAATGAATTTTTTTTTTGTAAATACGTACTAATTGAATGTAGTCATTATTATATAAAAATGAACATGTATCCAGAGAAAATCAATAACTTAATTTTTATGATGAGAGAAAGAAAAAGAGAGAGAAATAAGTCACACGTTTTCAGTTTCAATCGACCACAATAGAAATAACATTGAGATGGAGAAGAGAATTTTTTCAGTGCACATTTTTATATTTTTGAGATAATTTACCAATTCAATTTTTGAAAAAAACTGATTTTTTTTTCCGTTGTTAAAAATGTTCAATAATTCACAGTCAAAAAAAAGCAGTAGTTGATTATAAAACTCCAAATGAATCACGAACAAAAAGGATGACAATAAATTGTAACTGAAAATAGAATGCAGTTCACCATTTTTAAATTAGCACGCAAATCGAATCTTTTGACAATTTCCATTTTATTTAGCGGCTTTGCAAAGACATTTAAGATAAAATGCGTAGACATTTGAAGTACCACGAGTACCGTTTTTCGTTCATAAAATCAGCTTTGGAACAAGCCATTTGCCAGAAATACCGCAAAAAGCTTATGATTTTTCAATTAATAACTGGGGCATAAATAACAAACGCTTAAATTGATTGATAGCTTCAGGGAAGAGGATGATATTTTCAAAGAAACAATTTTTCCATTTGTGAAAAAAAAAAAAATTTCATTGGAAAACACAGTTGGAATAATAGAAATTTAATTGTTCTTAACCGAGAATTTGCATTCATTTCTTCGAAGCTATCAATTAAGTAAGGAGATGCGATGCCAAATGTCTGTTCTCATTATCATATTTGCATTTGATTACTAACATTTCTCATAACTCACCTAGAATTTGTCCATTACTAATATTTTCGTAGGTGTATCAGAAGTAAACAACCATAGCAAATATGTGAAAATGGAATGAAGGATTGACTTAGTCTCTTGTTTCGCATGTTTATTTTTCTCGTTTTTTTTCTGCATGTATTTGGTTTTTTTTTTTTTAGTTGTTTGTTTTCCTCCTGCCTTCCACCCATATTTAAATCAACTATACCTATGCAAATTGCATGAACGGAAAGAAAATAAAACTTTACATCTACCATCTTTGATTTTGTAGCAGACTCGGCGAGGCACAAATTGGCAGTGGTTCGATGTCAACGAAAGCAGTTACCAACTCGCGTAATTATCGAATTAAAGAGCAGCAGCAACAACAACATTCATCGAGTTGGGAGCCACAATTCGCCGATGTGATTGAGATGAGAAAATCGGGTACAATACAAAATAACAACAACAACGATCACACATATCCAACGGGCGATACACTGAACTGTACCGGTTGTGGTTCGTCAAAGTGCAATAAAGATGACATAAATCGATCTCGATCAATTTCGATACAACGAAGTGTCAACATACCGTGTGCTTCCGTACTGACACATTCGCACTGCTTTGATGATCATCCGGTGGCGAAAAGCCAACGTAGCCATTTGCATCGAAGCCGCTCGAAAACCGTTGCGACCAATTTGTGTGATAATCTCTCGACCATGTCCACGGTCGATCCGTTACGAATTTCCAAGCGAAAAACCAGTCAAGTTCGATTGTGTTCACATGCAAATGTGTCGCCATCACTTGAAACGGCCAATCGTCGGGGTCCATTCACCGATGCCGATGTGCTCAATGGCAATGTGTTGGACACAAGCGCGGCTTGCACCGAAAGAACAACCGTTACCACAATAATACCACGCATCATTTGCCGGAATCGAAGTCGTACATCGACAAAGTGCGCTCTATCCCCAATACCATGCAGCAAAGCAATCAGCGGTTGTAGCACCATGGCCAGTACATCAATGAAACGTGGCAAACGAACACTAAGCAGCACCCAAATTGAACGTGAAAAATCCGATGAGAAAAATATTAAACTAAAAAAACATGCGGTGCTACGGTCACTGTCACCAATACTGGTTGCGTCCAGTGCACGTAATTCCATTAAAAAAATCATCTCCACATCAAATACTAAATGATTTTAGTCATAAGCCAGTCTCATCTAATATGTATTGAGAAAATCCATATCGAACCTATTTAACTACGTCGTCTTATCGTAAATCCCCTAACTTTTTCAACTTCATTTTTCCATGTTCGTCTTTTAGCGGTACACACACAAACACACACGAGATAGACAACATTTCATCGCATTTTCTTTTCTCTCCTTTCTCAATCACAAATTATTCTCAATTGAAATGGGAAATAAAATACACAATCTTAACATTAGTGTCTAAGTCTGTCTAGCTTTAATGTTTGAATTACACTCACTCGCACATAGAAAATGGAAATCGCGAGTGATTTTGTTTTTTGTTTTTTGCAAAATGTGTGCAAACTGAAAACCAAACTATTGGCATACGTGTACTTGAAAACGGTTTCTCGTAGTGCAACGCCAAACAAATTGGTCTCTATCTCTTATCATCAACTCTCTAATTCATACATTCATTCATTTAATCAGTTGCATCTTTGGTTTTTAGTTGTTCTTTATTATTTTCATAGCCAATTTTGTGCTGGAAATGAGTTGATTTTGTGATTGTTTTTATTTTATCTTTTTTCGTTCAAATGGATGTGCAATTGAAAAATAAGGTTGATGCAATTCGAAATGTGCCGGACACGAATTTTTACAGAAAACTTGTTCCTGTTTGTCTGAGAGTATGTAGGGAATACAGGCCTAAATGGCCTAGCTCCATTTAAAAATGGTATCGTTCATTTATTTATGGTACACTGCAAACCCATAACCAGGTCTAGCCAAAAAATATTGAGAAAAATTACACATACAATTAGCAAAAACGAGAATATACATTGTATATTTATATATAGCATATACAGATAACATTCTTGCCAATGATAGGGAACGAGATATGTCGAGGCAGTTGAAGAAAAAAAAAACGGAACAAAAGATGTGCATATTTAGCTTAAGATGAAATAGGAAAAAAAATATGGAAACTGTGTTGTGTATGGATTCACAATACAAAAATACATACAAATTCTATATATAGTCCCTTTTGAAAGTGTCTCAGTGTCTCACACTATATCGATTTTTTTTTTATTATTATTTGTTTATTTATTTTTATTTTGTTCGTAATGTGTGCTCTCATCCTATTTATTTATCGTTTTTTTTTCTCTCGAATGAGGAAACCAAAAACTCTTGCAATACTATTCAATACAATTTTAGATGCAATCTTTGTTTTTTTTTTGTTTTTTTTTTCTTTAAATTAATTTTATAGTTTTCTTCTCGTCATACAAATTCATCGAATATCAATCAATTCAATTGATTTTATTTGAGATTTGAAGAATTGTTGTAAAAAAATAAGGCTAAATATTCGTGAAGAATTTTGAGAATTGTTTTTATTTTGATTTTTGTTTTTCTTTTTTGAACTAATTGGAAATTGTTACAAGCTTGTTTGAAGTCTTTTCCGCAAATCATATATTCTAAACAAAAAAAAGAAGTGAAAATTGAATGTGTTCTTCAAAACGAATCAGACAGAAAATGTTGACTACGTTCGACACATATGATATGTAACATATCAAATTGGAATTTTACGCTCTTTTTTACGAAATTCTGGTCATTTCTATATTTAAAAGAAAAATCATATGCAATTTATTCCTTAATCAAAGGCCATTCTAGTCGAATAGTCATCTCTTTTCAAATTTAAATTGTTGCTCTTGTCTATCATCCATAATTGAACCCGTGGGCATAAAAACGACTTATTAAACAATCGCCGAACAAAACGATACAAGAAAAAACTACCGAACAAAACACACGTTAAAAACGTAACACAGCAGGACGGTACCGTTCAAAACGAAACTCCGCTGTGCTACACATTACCGCTGTGGTACATTTTGTTCGGTTGTTTTTTCTTGTATCGTTTTGTTCGGCGATTGTTTAATAAGTCGTTTTTATGCTCACGGGTTCAATTTCGTTTCGAAACTTTTTTCTTCGATCGACTTCGAGAATCAGATGAAATCAAACAGTTCGATTTTGTACGAAAGAGGGCGAAAGTCCATTAAAAATGTGTATTTATTAAATCTTGTTTTTGATAGTTGAATTTTGTACTTATACAAAGGGCAAAAAAAAATGAGATGAAACAACAGAGTTTTATTTGTTTGAATTCTAAAAATAAATAATGATCCGATTCTTTTTCAAAATTCGTAGGCAATAAAATTAAATTAAATTGATTGTGAATTGTTAGTTGTAAAAAAAAGAATTTACTATATAGAAGAAACACACAAAGATTCTTCTTTGAATAAAAAATAAATCGTAAATGTGAAATTAAAAAAAGAAAAAAAAATCGAATAGAACAAAGAAGAATTAAGAAACGAATTAAGGAAATATTTCAAAGGTGTTCAAAAGATGAAATCCACTAGATTAAGAGCAAAATGTAGCAAAATTATATTGATTCAATGTTGAACATGGTTACTTCACAGCTCACTCTCTGCTAAATTACAACGATCAATGTGAGTTGGTTGTGTCTGTTTTTGGTCGATAACTACTCTAAATGGCGTTCTTTGAATACAAATGTACCTAAAAAATCAATTCTGGCCCATGTTGTTGAGGAGAAAAAATAAAATTAAAAAAACCAGAAACAACAGCACCAACAACAATATTGATCGTTTCAAGAATAACAAATAGAAGAAAATGGAAACGAATGGAACCGAAACAATAATTACCAACAAAATAGCCGAATAACGCAAAAAAGAAAGAAATTGTATAACCAAAAAAGACAAAAAAAAATTCGCACACTCATTGAAATTACCATTGCGGAGCAGAGATATCACACAGACATACAACAAATTGTTGAGTCTAATGATAGGTTTGATGTTTCGTGGAAAGTTTTCTTCATCACACACACACACACACACACACACACACACACACCTTCTCTCACATATAATCAAAATTACACACCAGAACAAAATGACAACCAAAACAAATGTACGATAAGATTCTCTTCTCTCAATCTCAATGTCCACACAAATAAAGGAAACAAAAAAAAATTCATTCAAAATGAATCTATTGAAATTGTTTTTAGAACAATATTGTTAATCAATTTTTATTTTGTTGCTGAACAAATAACAATAGTTATTCGTTGAAGTCGATCGTTCATTTTTTTTTATATTTCTTCTGTGGTTTCGATGAAGATACACACAAAAAAAACATCGAGCATTTAATACTTGATTTAATTTTGGGTTTTAAATTGCTTTTTTTTTTGCTCGTGGCATACCAAATAGATTTTGGTCGCACGAGCGCGCGTTTCTTTCTTTTCAGTTTCGTCTTTATTTTACTCTCTTTTCGAAATAACCATACTTGTAATTACTTAACGTGTATATTTATGGAAATAATAAAAATATTGAAGCAAACATTTAAAACAAAATGAGAATGATGTACAATAACCTAAAACCTAGTGAAATTATGCACAAACCAATCGATATGTATCCAACTAACAAAGATGAAAAGAAATAAAAAGAATTAAAACAATTTTTTGAATTGAAGTAAATTTTGTCTGTGTTTTTGTTTGATTGAATTCATGGGATTTCAGATGCTGCTGTTGCTGCTACTTCTCGGTTGCTCTTGAGAAAAGAATGAAAAATGAATGTAAAAACTTGTTTTTTTTTATTACACCGTTTTATTCCAGCTGAATTTAATTTTTCTTGCTGGCATTTTTTTTCTTTCGCGCAAATCGAAAGTCATGTTGATTGTGAAGCAGAAAAAAAAATTAACAAATTTGAGTCTTGCTAAACTTTCGTCACGATGATTTCCCAATCGATTGAGTAATGTCGTGTTAAATTAAAATCGATTGTTAGATATCTCAACTGCGCGCACCGATAATGATCAACAGGTGCATATCAAAAGTGTTTTAAGACAGTACTGCTCATGAATCCGTTACACAATAGTTGTAATACGAGTATTTTGCCTTATTATTATGGTGTAAAAAGGTTTGATAAAACACCAAAACATCAATAAAAAAAAAACTAAATTCATATTATTATGAATCTCATTTTGGGTCGACGTCGTGCTAGATTTCTCTCTCTCTCTCTCTCTCTCTCTCTCTTTCTCTCTCTCTCTATTTTGACAAGAAAATTGTCGTCATTGATCAAGAGGAACGAAAGTGAAATGAAAGAAAAAAGTATGTATTTTACGCACACATTCAGTGACTCTAAACGTGTTCATTCCTCTGTCGTTCGAACAGAATGTCAAAGTGATTTCAAGAGACCGTTCAATGCCAACCGAATGTGATGTGTATTGCCCGTGTGCATAGGGTCGATTATTGTTTGCGTTGCCAGCTCTGTGCTAATGGCATCCTTCCATTCGAAAAATGTCAAAATACGTATAATCGCACATCGCTCGAACATACACATACACACAATTACACCAATCCATCGTCCAACCAGCTCCGTTCGAACAAATGAACATACATACCCACAGACACACATACATACACGCTTAACGTCACTTGGCTCCTTCAATTTTTTAACAACGCACAAAAATCTTCAAGCACAACTCTCTGAAGCAGCAGCAGCAGCAACAACAGCTAAAACTACACACAGCACCAAAAAAAGAAAAGAAAACGAAGCAGAAAAAAACGTCGAACTTTATCAAAAGTGAAGCAAAGAAAAAAAAAACGAGAAAAATGTTTCTACTGGCAAAGGACAAACACACGAAGAAAATTTAAAATTGCACAACAAACACAAAATCGACGACGAACAGAAAAAAAAAGAAGAAATTGAAACAGCGAACAGACTTCAACTTAAATTGGAAACTACAAATGCAATTAGTGATAACTTGAATAACCAGTGAAAATCAGAAGAGAAATAAAAATGTTTGATTTTTTGTTTTGATTACTTCGTGGAGCGAAAGAGAGAGAGAGAGAGAGAGAGAGAGAGAGAGAGAGAGAGAAAGAAAAGAAAATCGAGTGAAAAAAAGTGTACGATTTTTGGTTTGATTTCTTATTTTGGGCAATTTTCTATTTTGGTTTTTTTCCCCCAATACAACACGAAAGATAGAAAGAAAGAAAATACACGAAATCCAGTGGCGATTCTGACAAATGTCCAACATTGGTCAAGTCAATAAGGTAATGGGAATAAAGAAAATAAATTTTTTAACATTTTTTTTGTGGTATCATATTGAAATTGGTGTGTGAGTGTTCATATTTCTACGTTTTTTTTTCTCTTCCTTCGTTGTTCAGCTCTCATCAGTTGGTGAAGAAAAAAAATTATTATGTGAACAATTGGAAGTGGTTTGCTAATTTGCAAAATGAAAAAAAAAATGTGAACGAAATGTTGTCGTCGCCTCTTGTGTCGTCCCCTCAGAAAATACAACAACAACACAGTATGGTGATTCAATTGAAGAGTTACATTTTTTTTCACGAGATTCACAAACGCACAACGCGAACCTTAACCACAAATCCCCCCAAAAAAAAATTAACATTGAATTAGAATGAATTGTGAAATGGTGGCTTCATTTTTATTCTCTAGCTCGTCGACAGAAAAAAAAAGAGAAACGAAACAAAACTTCATCAGTATTATCTCTTTCTCACGGTAAATATTGTCAATTGATACAAATGGCAATGTTGATGTGATCACCGAGGAAAAATAAATAAGATGTATGTAGATAAATGAATATCGAGTGCGTAGTGTAAGAGAGAGAATCTCTCTCTCTCTCTCTCTTGTCTTGTTCGTGTCGCCTCTATCAGAATGCGTTAATTTATCACACACAATGTGCCTGAAACCCAACACACCAAGAGCAACACACAGCACCAACAACGACAACGACAACGACAACGACAACGACGACGATGACGATGACGACGACGACAACGAAAAACTTCACTAAACTTTCATTTCAATAAATGATTTTCATAAATTCGTTCGATTTTCACACGGCAGCGAATAAAATCCCTCCAAATAAAACAAAACTCATTCAAATGGCCATTTGCCAAATTTCAATTAATGGCATTGCAATTGATTTTACTTTGATTGGTGCGTTTCGACCGTATTTGATGTGTTGTTGTGATCAAGTGTGCTGTATGCCTGATATTTTTGATTATCATGTCGTTGCCTGTTCTCTCCATACATGTATGTACAACGAACGAAGAAATTTTTTTTTAATAAATTCCCCGTTCTTTGGCCATTTCCACAATCATACAAGATGATGACAACGACGACGACGACGACGACGACGACGACGACAAACCAATTTATGCGAGAAATCAATTGGAATGAGCAATCGCCATACTCCTCTCTGATTAGACTTTTCAAAATGCAATTTAAATCACAAAACAAAACACAAATTCTCGGTCATTTTCCGAACGAGTGTGAACGAACAGAAGTGGAAAAAAAAAATTATGTGTGTGCGATCAGCAAAATAAAATGAGTAGAAAAAGAAAACGAAGCTTGAAGTTGAGTTTTGTGTCATTTAACGTTGGTGCGCGTCATTTCCGAACTTATCGCGATTGTTTGCTTGTCTTTTTCGCACTGCCAAAGCAACGCTCGCTCGCATTTGTCTGCGTTTTTTTTTTAAATTTCATGTGTAAATTTCGTGTTGTGTTCTCTTTTTTTTCGTCGTTTTTCTATATATTATTTTCGTTCTTTTCGTCTTTTGTACACTCAATAATTTTGGTTTTATTTGTTGTGCCCTGTGCATGAGTTCTAAGTTATATCTTAGTAACAATCTTTAAGTTCGGTTTTTTCATTCTTCTTCATACACACGTATTGAAATGCATATCGCAGAACACATTTTGACTTATACAAATTTTTCACATATTCGGTGGCTAAATAATATAAAAATGAATTTGGTATATAGATAATACGCGAGAGCGCAATGGAAAAATGCGAATTCTTTGGCGAACATTTCGCTGTGTTTAAACACAAATGTGATAAAGATGTAACTTCATACGGTCAAACATGTAATATTGCTATTGTGTTTATTCTCTCTCTCTCTCTCTCTCACTATGTTCAATAATTCTTTATACTTAGACCCAATTTCTATTCGATCGGCCAAAATCAAATCGACACGCTCACACAACAAAAATTTTGGCGAACATTTTTTTCAGGAAAAACTAATTGAATTTTCAAAATAGAATTCATGTGTCTGTTTCGTTTCAGGTTCTACACAGCCATCATTATTTGACATCTCGATGCGCGATAGGTGTCCCCCCAGTTGTATAGAAGTCATCAAACAACATATTAAATTCGGTTGAATGTTTATCCATAATCATCGGTATAGTGCCTTCCACCACAATATTTGATACAAACACATTTACAACGCAACAGTTTAGCTTTAAACATTCAAAAATAACAATAGCAACAGTCGAAATTGCACATCATTTACAGTGTCGATTGTGTTTTAAAAACGATCAACAAAATTGGAACCAACCAGCGAGCGACCGAACGAGAGAGAGAGAGAGAGAGAGAGAGAGAGAAAGCAAGTTTATGAGTTGAGAGTCCAATGTCGATCAATGTGGATAAAATGGATTCAAAACACGACGATTCGTTGCACAAACCAAAGCCAGTGGTAAGTGTCACCGAAAATACGGAACAAATTTTTTTGTGCTTATGAAAATGTCATTCACAATGATATACGTTTCGGAATGATTAAGTGTTAAGCAATTCTATTTTTTTTCCCTTTTTGCCAAAATTCGTGTTTGTTCTTTACATTTAATTTTATTTCGGTGTATATTTATATATTTGTTGTTGCTCTTTGCACAGATGAAGCGGCGCAAAAAAAATTCATCGGCTAGTGATTTGTCGAGTGATTCATTGTCACCAAAGAAACGTATACCGAATGGTTTTGCCGAAGAATATCGATCGTCACCAGAGACAACATTTAATTCATCGTATCACAATAGTATACCGATGAATGGATCGTTAAACACAACAAATGGCCATCATAATCACCTGAATGGGTCGGTCATCGATCATACAAACGATTTGAATATAATGGAAGTGGTTAGTCAAAATGGTTCCATAAGATCGATTGACAGTGGATCGCCGATGCATTCGGCCACAGCAAATCTTCATCACCATTATGACGATAGTGATAGCGCATCTAGTGTGAATAGGAGCAGTGGAAGCAGCAGCGGTTGCAGCGGTGATGGTGGCGGTGGTGGTGGCAATGGTCGACGTCAACCGCGTACGCCCGAAGATTTCTATTTGTTTTGTCAGTTTATTTTAGAATACGCTAACTATAATGAAATGTGTAGTCAAGAAGTAAGTTCGGTTAATTTGCAACCAATGAATTGACGTGGGGCTTATTTGTCGTGGCGAGTTAGAAAGAGACTCGCATGATTCTCATGTCGTCGCGCACAAGCCCATAACAATTTGAACACGAGTCGCTGCGAATCAATTGACATGTCAAAATTGTATGAATTCATAAAACCCATTAAATTCCCGTTGAAGATTCCCACTAGTCTTCACATAGATTCGCTAGATTCATGCGGCTGCCTGAATTTTTTCTTTACTGACTTGTGAAATTTACACTGACTCGTCTGACAAATAAGCTCCTGGTGAAAATTGATCAAAATTTAATTGAGAAAAGAAATAAAACAAACTTTGATTGTCCCCATTTTATAGACTTTGCGAAGCTCAACTCATAGTCCATTGGATAGTACGGGAAGCGCGACTGAGTCGACGACAAGCAGCGCTATGAATGATGAATCGAATCATGCGATTTCAACGGTTAACGATTCAACAAAAGAAGAGCTAGAAGATGAGGGTAAAGATTTAGATGGTTCGAATACGATGCTTAATGACACAAGCACCGACGATGTGACAAAGGCCATGAGCGCCATTGATGCGTCATCGGCAAATGAAGATGAAGATTCGGGTAAGTTTAAACTGGATGAAATCCAATCAATTCCCCATCTTTTTACTTACCCAACCAATTTTTTTTTTTGCAGATGTCGACGCCGATTCATACAATTTGATAACATGTTACTGTGGTAAACCGTATGCGGGTCGGCCGATGATCGAGTGCTCGTGCTGTTTAACGTGGTTGCATTTGTCGTGTGCAAAAGTCAAGCGTAAAAAGATTCCCGAATTATTTTACTGCGTAAAATGTACAAAATCGACGACGGGTCAACAACGGCCATCGTTGTCAGCGACACAAACCTCATCACCACCACCACCAACAACAAATCATCCCAAAGATCATCAATCCAATAATGAGCCAAAAGAGAATAATCGTTCCAAGAAATCGACCGCTTCAAATACAACAATGTCACAGACGCGTTCCGATAAGCTCGAGAACAATATTCTGCAGCCGCTAAATGTGAGCGCCGCTGCATATGAAACGGGTGCTAACAATATAGACAACATAAAAACTACATCGACTGTTTCAAGCATTGCCGTCAAGTACAAATAGATATTTTCATATATACAAAAGAAAAGACAGAAAAACTACACGCAAAATGGTGAGAGAGAGAGAGAGAAAAAAGCGAGCAGAGCACACACATTTTGTGTGTATATGCGCGCAATATTTATGCAATTTGAACGGCAGCAAACGATTTTGATACATTTCCGTGACCACATTTGAAGATACAGAGGCAGAATGGAACAAGAAGAGAATTCTCGCGTTGGAAGAAAGAGAAAACGAAGAAAAAACACACACAATTCGCGCAACTGAAATCGCGTACAATTGATTCGTTTCTTATGTTTTTAGGGAAAGTAGAAACAAACCTTGAAAAGCCATTTTTTTCGTTCTTTTTTTTAAAAAGGGGATTTTCATGAAATTACATGATGTACATAAATTATACATACATTTTATTTTGTTTATACAAACACTTTTTTTTTTCTAAAAAAAAAACACACACGCATGATATTGGCAAAAGATTTACGGTTCCAAAATAATGGACGATTTATAAGTGAAAAAGAGGGAGAGAAAAAAAAAGTGTGGCAGAATTTAAAGAAAAAAACAATTAATGTTAAACAATTTTTACATTTAATTTGAATGAAATGAAAATGTTAAGCAACAAAAACATTTTTTTCCATCTTTCTTATTTTTTTTTCTGGACAAATGATACTTTATGAATTTAGAGTGTGCAGAACTAAGGTTGGTGAAGAGATCAATGTGTCTCACATTATGTGAGCAAAAACAAAGAACAGTACGTTGTTTTGGATGAAGCAAAACGGCAGGAAAGAAAAGAAATAAAGCAAAGAAAGAATCACTATTTTCATACGTTCTTAAGAAAGATATTAACTAAAAAAAAATCTTTTTGTAAAAATTCTTGTTACCATTGTTTTTTTTTTACCATTTAAAAATGAAAACAAACAAAAAAAAAGATGCAGATTAAAAGTTAAAGGAAAGTTAACAATCAAGTTTTACAAAAAAGAGAAATAAATAAAAAAAAAACTTAATTAATGTTTGACTTTATTTCGTTTTTGATTCGTTGAGAATTTTTGTATTTTCAGCGGTTGCGCCGATTGCAACTTTTTCAAATTTGTAATTTCGATTAAGAGGTTACATATTTGCGGTGTCAGTGAATATGGAACAAAGAAAATGAAGAAAAAAAAACACCATTCAACTTCAATGTTTACGAGTGTTTAAAATTAAACTATGATTCTTTATTCTTCTTTCGAAATACATTTTGGACAAAGAATTGGTTTTGCGATTTTTTTTCCCTTGTTTCTTCTTCACCTTTGTGTTAATTGAACTACCGGCAAATCCGGATGACTCGAATTCAATTTCAGTTGTTTTTGTTATTTAAACAAAAAATACAATTGTCATTAATACCAGTGGCTTTGGTTTTGAAACACCAAATCAGTTTTCGTCTCAACACATGAAATCAATTGGTTGTTTTTGTTGTTGATGTCATGATCGATATTGTTTTTTTTTTCTCTTCTCTTCATTGAATGAGTCGCTCACAAATAAAACGCTTATACGCACAAATAAACGCGTATTCAATTGTTATACCTAAAAAAAAAATACAAACTTAAATTTGTCGGACACTAATCTAAACCGTTTCGTGAATGTCGTTTGAACTTCGTGTTTGAAATGTTTTTGTTTGTGTGTTCGTGGATTTTGTTCGTCGGATTAAAAATGATAGTCGATAAACTCCGTTTATTGGTGTTCTCAAGTCCGTTCACGTTTGATCGGATAAAACGATCAAATTGGTTTCGTGGCTCGCGTGCATTGACTTGTGTGACGAATGATAGTGCTTTGAGCTGGATGATGATCGACTTGATTTTGATACTTTTGAATCGCTATGATGCCGACTGCTATTCACTTTGAATGGATATGGTGGTTGCACGGGCGGTGGCTGAATTTGTTGAATGGGCTGCGGTGGCGGCGGTAGTGCTGGCTGAATGACTGGCGGTGGTGCCATTGTATTCATCACTGGCATGATGGTTGGCGCTGGCGTTATTATCATTTCGTTACTTCTCGAGTTATAATGGAAGTAAAGCAATTGATTCACGATAAATTTATCCGGATCTTTAAGCTTTGGTTGCGGTAAATGCGGTGGAGGGGATCCGGGTGGTGGTGGCGGTACAATTTGTCGATCATCTTCTTCGATCTATAATTCAAATTGGTTTTTATTTCAATTAGAAATTTCAATTCATTTTGTCATTTTTCTCCAATTTTCGGCTCTTTTTGAAATCAAGAAACGCCATAGTCACCAAAGCAATATTTGGCGATGAAATCAATGTAAACTCACCTTTGTTTCGAATGAATTCTCCTTTTCAAGGAACATCATTGACGTTGGTATGCTCGAAAATGGTGGCAATACCATATTCTTGGCGTTTTTTTTGCCTTTAGCGCGTGCCGACAGTTTCTTTGGTTTAGTTATATTGTCATCATCTTCGTCCGCACTGTCATCGGATGCTGATGTACCTTCGCCGGGTACGACACCATCGGCAAAGAGAACGCCTCGACGTTTTTGTGCGTTTTGTTCCCTGCAACAAATGAAAAATGACAAACAATTTTAGTTTTTTTGTTTCATAGAGGTATGGCGTCCAGTAAAGCACTTACTTGGTTGTGGTTTTTTCATTGCGGTTTCGTTCCGACAGAATGCTCCGACCGACTTGGGCTTCAGGATTATACGAATGTATTGGCGGTTCAATGTAAATGTCTTCATGCTCGTCATTTTCGTCGGATTCTTTGGCATTGGCCAATTTGATGCTGGTGCCATCGAATGTAATCGATTTCAGTATTTCGCTGGCCTTAACAATTTTCCCATCATCACCAACGGTCATCAAATGACTCAATCGGTTCAATTCATTCAAAAGATATTCCTTGCGTTTTGCTCGATCCAATCGTTTTTGGTGTCGTTCCATTTTGCGTTTGAGGCGATCCTGTTTTTGACGTAACAACGCCTGCTGATGTTGTTTTTCGATTGCCAGCACTCGATTCGATTTCTCGATATCGGCCGAATGGGCATTTCGATCACACTGAGGCTCGGCACTTGGCACAATCTCCAGCACATTACCTTTTTGTACAGCAATTGTTGGTTTGCGACGATTTTCCGACTGCTTTCGAATGCAATCGACATTTGATGAATTCGGCGTACCATACGGTGACACTTCGATGAGGTTTGAGTATGAATTTGATGGAATCGATTGGTTTGATAGATGTTGCTGCTGCTGCGATAGTGGTGCGTGCGACGACGAATTGTGATAATAGTATTCACTGTTGGCACCTGGCATCATTCCGGTTGGTGTGTTGATGCTGGGCGGAGGGCGATTATATTGTAGCGGTGGTATGGGCACACGATTGGGATGCATATATGCCGCATATTCGTTCATGTAGTTTGGCACATTCGGTGGTAGATTGGGCGCCGTGAATTGATTGGGACCGGGTTGATAATGAGCTGCTGGTGGTGGCATCGATGCATTACCGTACGGTGGCATGTGCCGCATGGCCATATCATCCGAGCGGAACTCATCGAATTCGGTGGCATTTGGCGGCGGAGTATTTGGTGGTGTGCGCGGTCCACGTGGCAGTGGTGACAATGACCGATTTCGATACGGTGGCGAGTAATATGAATCACGATAGTGGCTGGGACTGACTGGCGAACGCTCATGTCTTCGTTTGGACCGTCTCTCTTCACTGCGGCGTGGCCGTTTTTCATCATCGCAACGCCGTGATCGTCTCTCTTCGCTACGCCTTGAACGATGCTCCTCACTTCGGCGAGAACGTTTTTCTTCGCTTCGTTTTGAGTGCTTTTCCTCTTTTCGTTCTTCACTTCGCCGAGACCGACGGTCTCGTTCTTCACTTCGTTTCGAACAATTTCTCTCCTCACTGCGCCGTGTTTTTCGATCTTCACTACGCCGCGATTTGCGGTCATCTTTTCGGTGACTACTTTTCTTTTTGGACGATGTCATACTGGTGCTGCCCTCACTCAATCGTTTCTCAATTAGTTCGTTGTGATGATTTGAAGCTGATGGCAATTTATTATCGGTTTCGCTTCGAATTGACAATTCTTGCCCCTGATTCTGCTCTGGTTTTTCCTCTTGCACCTCGTGTCCGTCATCAAGGAATGACTCGTTCAACTCTTTCGATTGTTGCTTTAATGTTGTTGTTGTTGATTTCAATTTTAACGAGATTTTCTTTCGTTCACTTTCGTGCACCAGAGCGCCATTTTCGACAATCTTTGAGCTGTCATTGAAACTGTTTTCATTCGATGGTGTTTCGTCGAGTTTTGATCGATCGGCCGCTTTTTTCGCCAATTTTATTTCGTTCATTTGATTCTTGTATGTCTCAAGGTTACGCAACAAATCATCTTCATCGTCGGAATCAATTAGTTTCTCCAGATTTTTCAGTGTATCGACCGCAAAACTCATATTTTTTATGAATGCATTCGGTTTGATAGACGCTTCGATACCATTAGTATAGGTTTTATCATTTCCAACGGTAAAATCCAAACCATCCACATTGGTGTGGGACGCTTTTGATGAATCAACTGAAAAAGAACGGAATAGAGCATTTATTATTTCATTTTCTTATTCGCACTTACATAATTCCACCAAATAATCAACAAAATACTTACGATAGCTTGATTTTGAAGACCGTATGCGTGGTGACTTTGAAGCGGATCGCGATGAGCTACTTTTCGAACTGGATTTTCGTCGACGTCGTCGTCGCCGGCGTGGTGATTCGTCATTGCTACTGTCATCATCTGAAGTCGAACTTGACGAACTATCTGATGAACTGCTGCTGTCTGAGCTCGACGATGATGACGACGAATCACTTGAGCTGCTACTCTCCGAACTGGATGACGATGATGACTGTTGTTTGTTCGTTTTCATTTGGTATTTTTGCTGTGCGGAAGACGTTGATGACACTTCATTTTTGCGTACATCTTTGTCGTTGGCCAGATCTGTCGATTCCTGTGCCATCGAATCGGATGTACTTTGGTTTGTTTGTAACACTGGTGCTGCGATATTTGCATCAAATTCAATCGTTTTCAGTGATTCATTGAGTGGTGATGACACTTGCTGAATAAAGCTATCATATTCATCGATATATTGTTTCATCTTATCCTCGGACAATATCGATTCGGTCGTCTTTTTACTGATGATGGTGATGGGTGGCGTTTTTGGAGGTTCTTGAGTAGTTGACGTTACGTCCATATTATCACTGGATTCATGCGATGGCGAATTGGTTTTGTTCGGTGTTCCAACATCACATTCATTTGCGGCATGTTGTTGGTTCGGAGATTGCTCAGAATTTACAGGTCTCTGACTATTTGATGGCAAATAATCCTGTTCGCTGCTTAAAACATCTTCCGTGGCATTTTGTTCGCTTACTTTATCCACCATTTTGACATTATTGTCGGCGATCGACTTAAAACAGTCGTCGCTGGTTTTGTTCAGTTTGCTGGGTGAAGAAGAACCATTTTCCAGAGTTTCGACACATTTTCGATCCGGAATTGTTGAACACTGTTCTGTGGCATTTTTGGCAATTTGCTCTGACGTACTGTCCTCTTCTTCATCTTCATCATAAGTTTTAACAACGTTTACCGTATGCATAACAGCCGTATCATTTGTACGGCGCACCTTTTGTTTCGGCTCAAGATTTAGTCGATTTCGCCAACTGCACGGATATCGACCATTTTCGCAATACTCGATAACTGGTTCGGCAATCGTTCGACTACATAAAAGTGAAGGAATGAATTATTTTTCAAATATTTTTTAATTGTGTATTCATTTCAACCATAAAATGGGGGCAGTGAGTGGCAAACATACCGCATTTCTCTATTTTTCAGCGGCTCTTTGGACAGAAAAGCATCTTTTGAATCATTAAACCGTTTTTTTGACCTACTTCGCCTTCGTTTATTGTGATATTCTTTGCTACGATGCCTTGATGAACTACGTCGAGGTTTGCGATCCTTACTTTTTCTTCTGTTGGAAGTAAACCAAGTCAAAGCCAATCAATCAACAACTCCAATTCAACTCGAAATATAAAATTCATTCAAATTGAAAATCAGCAGAAAAAAAATCGAACTATCTTGTGTTTACATGACAGAAAATGGTTTCATTTCTCACCTGGATGAAGAGTCCCTGCTTCTCCGTCTATCCCGGCGATGTTTTCGGTCACGCTCCTCAGACTTTCGAATTTTTTCATTGATCACAGATGATTTTGTGCTTTCGCAGCGATCTGATTTGGATTTTGAATTGCTTTCCGTCACTTCACCTTCTTCCTCTGACGTCGAATCATAATTACAAAGGACACTTCAATGTGAAACAGAATCGAGGGAGAAAAAAAAAATTCAATTAGTTTTTAACAACATATTTTTCGTTTGCATTATGCTAAGCTTAGAATAAAATGAACGTGATTAGAGAGAATTCAATGTAAAAAAATCAATTTTCAATTGGTGAAACCTATAGCAAACCTTGATTTTGATGCACGCGGCGTTAATGATACGTACAACGTATCGTCTGCTGTGGATGACATTGGTCGACAAATGTCGACCTGATCTTCCTTATCATACAATGATGTTTCGAATTGTTTTCCATTCTCCTTCGATTTGGATGTGATTGGTATTGTTTTGAGTGGAGGTGTTGACGACCGAATGTCTGTACATCGTTCCATTTCTGAAAATGAATGTGAAAAAAAAACAAACGAAAATGTGAAGAAAAAAAAAATCGAAATTATAAGCAAATATTAACGATACACGGTGGAACGGTAAAGAGAGCGGGAGAGGGGAAAATAGAGTTGTATGTGCTAAAAAAAATCTAATGGATTCTGTATTACTCACCGAATGGATTAAAACCTATGTGTTCAAAGGTTGTTTGTTCAGTATTTTCTTATTGCTAATGTTTGACGGGATGATGATTGCATTCGGCGCACTCAATCGTATATGCACACATATATGCGCTGCATATGCTTACACACTTTACACGAAAAACTCTTCATTCGCAAAAAAAAAACTTTTCGGCCACTAAACAAGACAACAGAGACAAAATTGCAATTTTTTCTTGCTTATCTGGAATTACAAATGAATTGTGCTTTGCGTTCCGTGTGTATGCCCGTTATTTCGTAATAAATTTTCCTTTACTTTCAATGCATAAATTTTTGTACACTATTTCACTTGAATTCACTCGCTGCTCTTTCTCTCTGTCTCTATCTCGCTCGTATGTTGTTTCAGGAAATTAGAATGCACGACTACGACAGCCACGATGAACAGAAGCAGAAAAAAAACTGGTCTCTTATATCGATGCAGATATTTGGCCAATGCAGCGAATAATGACAGCAACCAAAATGGAAATGGGCTCTCTGATAAATGTCGTCAAATGCGATAAATCTGATCGGTTGTTCCATTCATGAAGTTCTGAGATCTGCTGCCAATTTTGTGTAGACAAAAAAAATGTCAATTTTCATGGGCTTTGGTCAAGAGGTAAATCCAATAATTTATTTGCGAATAAGACCTACGGATGAAAGAACGAACAAATATTTAGTATATAATTCTATAGGTTGATTCTTCGCTTCTATTGCTGCTGCTGCTGCTGCTGCTTTTTTTTATTGTTTTATGAGAATGTCAAAAATGCAAGCGATATATACATAGCCCGTGCTTATGACACAGATATGAAACGGAAAGAAAAATTTTACCCGATCAGGTGTAGTTCATATTTTATAAAAAGTGATTAGCGGCTTGTTTTAATCCACGAATAACCCAATCGAGCTGTTTGTCTCTGTGCATTTCCATTTACATATTAACACGATTAAAAAAAAGAGAGACTGAGTTTTTTTTCTCTATTTGTACTGTGCTTCACAATACTGTCACTGAAGCACACATATATGTATATATATATACATTCGATTGAGGTCTCTCTCAGTATGTGTATATTTAGTTGTTTCGTCTCTTTCGGCAATTGTCAGAATACGGTCGATGTGCGCGATTCATGTCAATGTGTGTGTGCGTCTCTGTTCACAAATCACAAGTTTATTGCTTTTTTCCTTTTTTTCCCTTTGCTGCTTGCATTAAACAAATTCATTGCATCTGTGTATACAACAGTTGGATCTGCTTTACGGAGGCCGTGTCGTGAGTTTTCGCGTGATTTTCGAAAATTCATTGTATTCTTTGTGAAACCGACTGAAATTAACGGTTTGAATTTCACGATTGATTCTTCGTTTATTGTGATGATAAATGGTTTTACATTTTTTTTTTCAAGATGATGTGAAAAAAATTTTTGTTCTAAATAGTTTTTGGCTCATGTACTAACTTTGGATGGTTTGTCAATGTTTTCGGGAGATGGCGCTGCGGCACGGTTTTGACCAGTCTTTCCTCCGTTTCAGCATTTTATTTTTGTTCTTCTTCTTTCTTTTTGTAACAGTAAACGATAGCATACTAAACTGAAGCTACTGATTTTACCAACCCGTTGAACATAACGGATAAAAATATTTTTGTCATTTTTTTTTGGTCTTTGGATCCCATTCCAAAATGCCATTGTCTTATGCTCGCAAAAATAGATAAAATAACGATTTGCTCCAAGCAATTTAAATCAACATTTTATGCTGCCAATAAAATTTAATCATTTATCAACGTTTTCGAGAAGTGTCTCGAATTTATGCATCCAAATTTGTTTTATTGGGCTAATTCGATGTAATTCGTGGCGTAGTATGGCTGAATGACGGGAAAACGAAGAATTAGCCTCATGGTGCAATAAGAGCGCGTACATGATATTGCGAATAGAGAAGCATGTGGCCCACAAATAAAATCATATAATTTGGTCAAAGTTTTTTCTCTCTCGTCATTCAAGATGTAAGCAGCTAGCGCATATTGTGCAATATGATATGCCCACGCCATATACACATATATATATATATATATATATATATATTCATTGGGTGTGCGATGTGATAGTAATAGCATTTGTAAAGCGGCCGGAAAAATAGCGAAGATAATTGAATTTAAACGCTCCTTTTGCCTGCAGTAACTGGTGTCGTTTTATCTCTCTCTGTGTGTGTTGTTGTTGTCTTGTTGTTGTTCGTGTTATTACTTGCATCCCTCATCTCGACCGTGCGTATGTGTGTAGGGGTGGTGATACCATCGAATTATCAAACAAAATATCGAAAATTGGCTGGTAACGAATAAGATACAATTTTTCCAACCTTCCAACTTCTTTTTTTTTTGGCTCTCTCTCTCTCTCTCTCTCTATTCTTCTTCCATCATTAGATTATGTTGAACGATCTGAGACCGTTGTGAATCTTTGAAGTTTCGATAAAAGTTTTGTATTTGTTATAAGCCCAACAAAAATATATATACTTCACCCCATTATTTCAATGAACCGAACGAAAAAAAAAGGAAAAGGAAAATAAAATATGGCCATAAGTTATTGTTGTTGGTCTTGTTGACTAGTGGTTTTTATTTATAGATATTAAGCCATACGAAACGGTTATTTAATTGACACTACTAACACTTCAAGTGGGAATTGTAGCGAGTCGTCGTTTAAATAATACTCGACTCGAATTATAGACGGAGTCGATGAGTTGCGACACAAAATAGGACGTGAGTATGTGTGTAGGTTTGACAAATAGGAAATTGAAAGATGATGCGAGTAAATAATAAAATGATATAGGGCCCCCCTCTTATTTTCTTGCCAATTGATATTTATGAAGTGTTTATCGCACACCATAAACCATTCACCGATCTATAAATGATCGGTGTAGATTTATTCGAGATGATTTAATTATGTTCGATAAAATAGAACAAATGTGCGATTATCATCACATCTCGCTTACAAATGGGTTTGACATTGAATTCATATGCCGTTTTGCATTCGGGTGCATGAAGGAAATTTTATCTTGAATCGCTTCGGGACAAAATTGAGAATACTGAAAAATTACGCTTTAGGATCGAAATTGTTATGTTAAATTTGAAAATGTGTTCTAAACCAAAATTTTAACCAAAAAAGGACAAAATTTTCAATGTATGAAAATGTCAAATAAAACGGCGAAAAATTCGTTGATCGATTGAAAAGCAGTGCGATTTGTTTTTAAATGAGAATATTTTTTGTATTTCAAGGTTTTTTTTTCGACAGCCATTCTTCAATGGTGATGGTCGACCAAATTTAGATGTTGAAAACCGTATACAAAATCTAAACGGTCGATTTGTTGTGGAATTTACATAAAATTCATTGAATTTAATTTAAGTGCTGAAATTTAACCCAAACTAACCGTGAGCATTTTCAGTTCCCCAAAAACAAATTTCGCTTATCTTTTCCCATAAGAACGCATCCTCGAGCAAGAAAAGGTCTTCGAAAAATGCTCAAATCGAGTCCTTGCTTCCGACCATTTCAATCACTTGCAGAAAATGGTGTAGAAAAAAGCGATAATTAAATTTAAATTAGTCGTTTACGGTTGGATGTTTGGTGGTGCGTTTGGTTGAAGCGAACATCGAAATGTAAACACATGCAACACAGGACAAACCGGCACATTATGCATGCATATTCACGTCTTGTTCGCCTTTTACGTTTGGGAATTTCAAATTTATGCGGATAAATTTTACGTAGCGAGCAAAGCAAAAGAGAGAGAGAGAGAGAGAGAGAGAGAGAGAGAGAGAGAGAGAGAGAAAGAGAAAGAGAGAGAGAGAGAGAGAGAGAGAGAGAGAGAGAGAGACTTGTCGATTTGTGCACATTGCCAAATTCTCGGTGGAAAAGTACCCGAGGCGTCTAAAACCACCGCCATTAGACTACTGCTTTGCTTTGTGTGTTGGGCGTTGTAAGACATTGAAATGATGGACGAAAAAATTATACTGTCGAAATTTGAATATCAACTTTATTTTGAAGCGAATTTTCAGCTCGAATTGGCGTGTCATAAAAATACCCGACGCCGTTGCTAAGTAAATTTTATTATACATATATCTAAAGCGACACTTTCGCTTGAATTTCCTTGCTGGCAACGGGGGAGAGGTAGAGAAAAAGAGTGTCGAATGAAGAAAACAATAATCTAATTTGCACATTTTAATAGAAACATTTTGCGTTTTGATAATTCAATCAATTCCTTTTTGTTAAATGTGTATCAAACAACGGTCCGTTTTCGGTTGGTTGGATGCATGCGTACAAAAACGTTTGTGCGTGCTGCTTTCCATGGCACATTTTCAAGCGATATGGAATTTGGCGGAGGCAAATTTCGTCATCGTACGCATCGTCGAATCAAACAAGGAAGTAAAATCCAATTCGATAGACGAGATAAAAGTCGTAAAACAAAAATGACTTCTCCGGAAATGCGGTGCGTATTCGTATCATAAAAGGTTGGCCGTTCCCATTTTAAATGCTTTTTTGATGTTTTCAGTGCATATTTAAAAGTTTTCTTTGATTCCAATTGCTTGCGCTGGAAAACAAAGTGAAAAAACTTGAAGAAAAATACGGAAAAAAGGAATAGTAAAAAAAACTCGCAGTTGAAAGAAATAGGAGTTTTCCTTCCGTCACTGAAACAAATCGCATTGCATTTGTGAAATAAATTGTATCCTAGTAACAGAAGAAGTAAAACTTTCAAATCAATCGGGCCAAATGATACTCGCGTTCGACACCATCGGCGAAAAAAAAGCGCGGTACAAATTGAAAATTAGCATTGAAAGTGCATTAGATAGTCCGTTAATTTTTTTATTTGGTTCGTGCCATACGGTATTGCTGTTATTATTACGTGTTTTTGTTATTGTTATCTAAAATTGCATTATTGTCGAGTTGTGTGTATGTCTCATATATTTGTGTGGGATTTGGTTGGGCAAAAAAAATAGTTCGTATGCCGCAAAAACTGGTGACAACCGTTTTGTGATTGCACGGAGTCGCAATGCGCCGAAACCCGAGTGAATGTCACTACCCGAAATTATTTATTGGTTCGGTGCATATGCTCGAAAACTCTATGTATTGTTAATGCAAAATAGGCGGTTCAGCCAAGTGCATAGTTCTATGTGCAATTTGCGCTAAACATCGGCAACGGGGCTGAACATAGAAAGAAAAAAATACAACAGCAACAATAACATCACCATCACATCACGTTCCAAAAAAATAGAAAAATATCCTTCATCAAATGTTATACTTAGCATCTTTCGTTGTCCGCTGCTGTTTGTTCGATAATAATGGTTTATTAAATAATGAAATGATGCGATGCTGATTGTGACATATGATAGCAAATGCTCGCTTTCTCGCTCTGTATACATGCACAGTGGTACCATTTCGATGAGCATTTATTGGCGTAAATTACATTTGTGTTTCAGTTAGTCGTTTTTACTTTGAACGCCATTGTTTCGACAATTTTACAAGCTATGCGCTCGATTTAAATACAATTGCGACAGCGTGGAAAATGGATCAGTTTTCACAGGGGGCGGGAATATTCACTTATAATTTTCTATGATGCTAGCTGCTCGCTCTATGGTTTTGCATCATCAATGAGATTATGTGTGTGTGTGTGTGTGTGCGCGCGCGCGGGCGCTTTCATGCACGATGCCGCCAATTTGTCAAATATTATACATGTACACACACACACAAGGCATTTTACTTTTGTGAGGTTTCCTTTGAGCCACTCTGTGCAAAGCTTTTAATTTTTATTTATATTACGGTGTGAACGGCATCATCACAACAAAGGAAAATAAACACTCGAAAAATATTTTCCGCAACACACACACACAGAGAGAGAAAGAGAATTTGAAATGAGATACGATTTTGTCGATCAACAGATACACAGAGTATATGGTTGATTTTCATTTTTTCGGCTACCCAATCCCTCTCTTTTGATAATAATGACATCATTGCTAATTTCATCTCTCAAATCAGCTCGATGTTTTTGATCTTTTCGAAACACCAGCGCCACCAATTCATTGAAAATTCTAATTACCACAATAAACGGCACACTTTGTGCGAATAAAATCGACAAAGGCTTTATTTGTTGCTAAAAAAAAACCATTGAAAAAAAATGGGCTATAACTAGAAAATGCTTTGAAAATACTGATTGTCTAAATCGAAAATAACATTTTTTCTAAACAAGTGTTGATTCAACACTGTTGAAAATATCCTTATCATGAACAATCCGTGTACCCAAAACGAACTTTGATAGTAGAAAAAAAGTTGCCAACAAAACAAAATCATCGGCAAAATAATTGTCTGCCAAGAGTGCATCGACGGAAAAGAGTAGAC